CTATGCAAGACGTATGTATAAATCTATCTTTTTTCCTGTACGAATGCGAAAGAAGGCGTCAATTTGTCTGTAGGTTTCTCTGTCTACGTCGTAGACAGAGAATCCTATCTCTGTCTACGGTATGAGTTAAGCATGGGCGTTTTCAGTTTTTATCTGCAACGGTTACATAACCGATATCTAGTTTTCATATCGTTATTGAAAACCGTTTTCAGATATCGATATCAATAGTAATGGTTTGCTACTGAATGTGCAAACGACAACCGAACCATAACCGCAAACTGTACTACCAGTGCAACATGTATTTATAAATTACATATATTATTCTAGATTAGAAGTCAGAGGTTCTAATGTTATTGTTATCTTAGATGTAATATTTAAAAATGTATGTTACAGCTTATTAAAGTACACTGCTGAACACATAGGCCTCCTCATAGATTGTATCATAGGTGGGATATTTGCCATAGTTGCCACGCTTGGCAAGCGGGTTGCCAACCACAGTTTTTTGAAGTGAAACTTTTTACGGGAGGGCTTTGATTGAAATGCTTATATGAATTTTGTTTAAGACAGTTACCAAGGTACACATATTTATTTTAGTAAGATTGAGCTGAGCGCACTTCAGTAATAGCGCCATCTTCTATGTTGTATAGGTAAATATATTTTATCGAACAAACATTAATTGACTCTCAAGGTGGTTTGTAGAGTAGATGTTAGATGGCATAAACCTAAAAAAATTGCTGCCCATCTCCTGATTTCTTTCCTTATGTCGCCTTTAACGACGCCCACGGGATGATAATCGGGTAATTACGTTCATTCTATCCTTATTTATTTCTATAATTTTGTTACCGATTTTTTTTTCAAATTGAGACGTAGTATCAGAGTCTGATTTCAAAGTCTATAATTAAAGTGTATTCTTAAGAACTAAACATAATTTATATACATTTATAGAAACATATATTTTTTTAATATATTTAGTTTATTATTTTAGTTTATTCATTAACAATTATTTAAGTTGGCGATTTTCCTTCATGCTTAACTAGGCTTAGAACTAGCAGAAAAGTTTTAAATTCGAATTTTCCATTCAATTTCAAAATTCAACTCTATTAAACGCAAATTTACCTGATTTGCACTAGCCGCTGATTCGGCTCCGGTGGAAGAAGTGGTCGGAATTGTCTTTTTTATTGAAGTGAGACCATATTTCACTAGCCTTACGCGACATTTTGAAAGTCTTTATTCAAAAATGATTAAAAAGTCTAAATCAACTTAAACTATACTATGCTATATTATATTTACACTTTACACATAATTGTCTGAATTACAACTACCTAATGCACAAAATACACACAAATATTGCAAATAAATGCACAAACGCAACGTCAAAATTAATAACTTAATGGATGTTATTACCTATCTTAGCGAATGGCACGATCACGAGCCACCAAGACCACACTAACTTAAAAATTGGGCAATTTTAACCATTTGGAATTCCACCTTTTTGCTTTAGGTAATTATATGCAGATGTGCATTGCGTACCGTGTGAAACTAAAATTACGAAAATAGAAATCTTCTCTTTCTATACAAATTTATGATACCGTCGCAAGAACAAGAAACAATGAATATCAATGAAGGACATATCGCATCGGTTTAGTTCGTGGGCCGTGTTGGCATATCGTTCCGGTGTTTGCCTTTTACGTTTTACAAATCTAAGCCTTTAATTTTTTTCAGGTTTTCAGAACCCTTTGATCATCTTGGGCCGCTGCGGGGTACATGCCATCAATTATTAGAGTTTCAATTTGCTTGAACTTCCATATATTACAAAGGCACGCAGTGTACTATTACGGAAAAACACGAAAATGCGCTACACAAAGAAAAGCGCTTTTCCTTATGAAGAGGACGCGCGGGGGGGCTAAAGCCCCGACAATCTTTGATATTTTAGGGTTAGTTATCAAGTCTTAAAAAGGCATGCACGACAAAATCGTGGAATGTCACCTGTCACCAGCTCCCAGTCTATTAAGGATTACTCAGATATTTTATATGGGGTTTCCTATATTCAGGAGTGGACTTTGATAGACTGTAATGAAGATGATGATGATTGTTCATATGACTATAATCTGGATCTAACATGGATGGACAGAACACATACCATAGTTTGAACCAATTTATAATAATTCGATAGACCAAAGCATCCAAAGGATTGAAGTCTGTAAAGTTAGCACAAGCCCTTACATACATTATTAAAAGTGCAACACACTGTGCATATTATTTTTAACAATCAAATATTTTTTTAAAACAACAAAAAACCTTAAGAAGTATAAAATTGGTTACAGTTTCTTGTTCTAGGTGCGATATCTACCTTTTTCTACTTCATCTGAGGTGTTTGATTAAAATATTGATAATTTGGTTATTGTAGGCATTCTGTGATTTGTGATTGTGCATATTATCAATTCATCCATGATTGTAAATTTTTATATGTAAATTATTATATTTTATTATGTTTATCATTGTTTCCATAAGTAATTGAAATATTGTAATCAATATTGATTTTCTTTTCATGTTTAAACCCATCAAATGTCTTTATAGAAAGAACTAAGCTACTGGAGAAACTTTGTCTTAAGTTATGTATGTTTTTTCAATTTTAATTTGTATTTTTATTTTGAATAAATAAATATAAATTTTGTAATTTTTGTTCTTTTACTTAGCGTTGGGATAGGCAACCCATTTTTGGGTTGCATATCCCAGCGATAAGCAACCCAAAAATACCTCAAATAAAAAAACCATGTTCAAATTTTCCCACCACATGAGAAGCGCATGTAGGCTAACGATAGATGGAGCTAATGGGTATATATCACATTTCTTAAATTTTGTATGAAGTTGTCGTTCTTCTCTGATAGGAGTAAAGTGTTCTGTGACATTTAGTCTGGCCAAGTCTGGCCGTGTCACGAGTGGGGTGCATGCGCGTTTAAGCTTAGATTTGTAGTAAACTTCGTCGGAACACAAAAACATCATAAGTATTATTTTTGTAATTGTCTTATTGTTCCTTTGTTATGTACTGTATTGTAAACTATTGCTTTATGAAAATAGTATCATACTGGCTATTTTGTTTTTTAAAACAAAGACAAGTTTAAAATGAAGACAAGCCCAATGAGGATTCTGATAATTCGACTGCGGTAGATCCATTCCAGAACGATTATAGCGACTAGGGATCGGATAAAAATTACGAATAATGATGTGATATTATTACTATTCATCTACATAATACGACATGAAAATGTATATATGTATGGATGTTATTATATGTTGCGTCCATAACACATTTTATTAGTTGTACTAATTATGACATAACATATGTAAATGATGATGTGATAAAACATTTCTGTCACAAAGTAAAGTCTAATCTATATAAACATCAAATCTATTTATATGGAAATGTATTGTCATTATAGAACACAGATTCAACTGGTACCATTCGTGAGTGTTAATATTATTTAATGATTTCTTTAACATAATTACACAAATACTACATGTTGAGCGAAACTATTTCTTACATGGTAGTCACAGTATACCAGCGTAAAATAGTAGCTTAATGCTGCTGTGTTCCATACGGTGTTAGAGAAACGGAGACCCTTTTTTCACTGGAAACAAGGCATTCCATTTTAGTGCTCGAGGGTGACAATGCATTTTGATTCTTAATCGAAGACAGATGTAGATGTCTATGAGCCACAGCATCCACTTATCAGCCAGTGAACTGTGTGCTCAGTTCACTCTTATTCTATAAAAAAAATCTCAATATTAAATCATGTAATATTCAAGCTTCTTCTTGATAATTTCATATTTATAGATTTTTACTAGCATTAATGTTACTACCCAAAACATCAATGTATCTGAGTTAAAATACTTCCACATTACTCCCAAAAGCTCACTGCTGCTCCCAAATTGAAAGCCCTTGCCAGGGTAGGACAGGAGTCCTACCCTGTCTAGAACAAATTGCATAAAATATCTTGCCATAATGATAGAAAACACCCTAAGCTTTCACCTTCATATTGGCCTCTTAAGTACAAAGATACAAAAGTTAATTTATATTTTTAAAAATCTACGTCGTGTTGCAGATTTTAATGTAAGAAAAATGGTATATTTTGCACTGTGCCAATCACTGTTGACATATTGCATTACCATCTGGGGAGGGGCATCTAAAACATCCATATTGAAATTAGAAAGGGCTCAGAGGGCACTATTAAAAGTTAGCGATTCACTTCCATTCTGTTGTCTTACAACTGACCTTTATCAACATTGTAATGTCTTATCTGTTCGTAAATTGTTTATATTGCACACTACGCTGCTACAACATTCTTTTATACAGTATGAGTCCTATAATAATGACAAAAGAAGGAAATATGTAGTTTGTCCTAGAAAGCTTCTAAAGACAAAATTTTCGCATAAACATTTTTACTTCCTGGGAGGTTACCTTTACAATAAATTAAATAAACTTTTGTCAATTTACTCTCTACGTGCACATAAACAAAAATTACAGAAGTGGTTGCTAAATGTCGATTATATTGGCTGCCGAAAATTTACTGAGTATTATCCTAAAAACACATAACCCTACACAAATGAGCACACACACACACACACATACACAATATTACACATATAGAAATAACTTAAAAATACATATAGAATCTTTCCTCGTTGAAATATTTCTTATTCTTGTATTTCTCTTGTAGTATATTTGAAAATGTAATTGTGCTATCCATTAGGGTGAGGGCATGGTGATCTATGACACAGGGATTACCCTAGTATGGACACCAGTCTCTCACAAAGGTCAAAATTATCTACAAATATATTATTTAAGAAATAATGTGAAATTATATACCTTTGTGAAGAGAAAAATAAAATGATTTATTGCAGAACATCAACAAATTTTATAGGGATACAAGTAATTGGGATGCAAATGTACTAGTGAAATAGGTAAATAAATAAATAAAAGTAAAAATTTCAAATCAAAATCAATCATCTGCATCATCATCCTCATCATCATCCTCATCATCATCATTGTTCATCATCATTGCAATTTTTTCAGATGCCTCTTTCAGTAATCTCTCACTAAATTTTGGAAATTTAGAGTCAAAGTTGGACTTTAAACTCACTAAGTCTAATTTCACTTTTTCCAATACATTGAGATTTGTTTTAATCTTTTTATACTCTTTAAACTTGTTTATATCTAAGTTAGAATGTTTCTTAATTTCTTCTAAGCCTTCTATTGCATCATTAACAGCATCTAGTAACTGCTTATGTCCACTCTCTTTGTCGTAACCAAAATCAACATTTTTTGTTTCTAGTTTATCTAGAAGTGTTTGCTCTGTTGCTGCAAGATCAGTTAAAATACTTTCAGCATTTGAGTTTTTTGATATTTCATGAAACTTGGTGTAATCTTGAGATTTGAGATCAAGTAACCTGTAAGTGTATAAACAATTTCATTTTAAATCAGTAGAGTGTAATCAAAACTTAACGTCAGCTGTGAAATTGGAGCTAGGCACTGCACAATAGAAAATTTTAAAACACACTAAAGTGCTCTTCTACTTAAGTATCAACTGGACTTGTAATGTTGTGTATACTAATATAAATTGTAATCTTAATATATATAAATTATGTATCACGTTGTTTGTCCATGATGGACTCCTAAGCTACATAACTGATTTTAATCAAATTTGCACACCGTGTACAGTTTGGTACAACTTGAGAGATAGCATAGTTTTTATTTTTACTTACACTTTATATGTTTATATTTTAACATGTTTGTCATCAATAATACTGTACCTGTTTGTGATGAGAAAATAAATATAATTTGTATTCTATTCTTTCTATTCTATTCTATTGCCCATGAGTGACCCACAATTTTTTTTTGTTTAAGGATTTTTAATAGGTCATGACAAAAGGTTGTCTAAATGGGCAGAACAACGTCTGCCTGACAAACTAGTGTATATAAAATGTAATTCACAGTTATTGTTGTTTATAGTTGTTGGTTAAAAACATTGTTATTAATATTTGTTGTTGATCATTCCACTTGTTTTTTTTAAATAAATTTAGTTATAAGTAAAAAAACAGATAACAATACAAACAAACTTTTGTATAGTTTAAGTAACGTTGACATAGTCACATATTTGGTATTTTAATTTATTCACAAATTCCTGAGATCTAACTAAATAGGTTGTATGGTAATATTTAAACTTTCAGCCAATAATGGTTTTATTTCTATATACTGTGTATACAAGGCACACATTATTGTCAACCTATATGCATCCTGTGTGATGCCACACCCACAGCATAAAACTTAGCTGCTAATAAGTTTTAATCAAGTAATTCAAATAAATAATGTAAATATGATTTTGGAACACTAGACAATAATGGTGGAGCTAGATTAAGGTAATATTTTTTATACAATTACATGCAATATTTCTGTACTTCTAACTTCTATGATATATTACACCATTCACAACTATTTGATCCATAGCCATTTTAGAAGTAAAAGGTCTGTGTTTAACCCCTCAATCTCTAAGCGGTCGAATTCAACTGCGGAGCTATTCCGTCAAACTTCCAAGCGGTCAGATTCAATCATGCACACCCACAGCACTTTAAACCATTAAAACTTATAACTAGAGACTACTTTTCTATGAAGAAGTTTGGCAATATAGAATCAATATCAAATTTTCTATCCTCTAGTGCAATGAACAGTCAGTTAGTCTGTGGATATTTATTTATAACCTATTTTCATTACATACGGCATTTTCATTTGCATGTTGATGTGTTAATTTTTGGGTTTTTTTTTTTGTTTTATTAGTATAGTATACTATTAGTAGTACTATAGTATTTTATTATAAAATTGTTATGAGTTTTTGTGTGAATATAATTTATCTATTTAAGTAAATAACATCGAGTAATATAAGTGATTTTCACGCTACCGACATCCATTTTTCATGTATCCGTTTTTTGTTATCACAATACAATAGTCTTTTTGTAATGAAGTAAAACCTAACTTTTTAGACCACAGAATAGAGAATATTGTATAGATTTTATAATGCCAAACTTCTTCATAGAAAAGTAGTCTCTAAATATAAGTTTTAATGGTTTAAAGTGCTCTGAGTGGGTGCAGTCACATGCGACCACTCGGGATTTGACAGACACATGCAACTGCATAGGATTTTTATGGGGACTGAAGGGTTAATAATAATATTATATAGGCTGTAACTATGTTTAACCTTTAACTGGCATAACCGTAGGGTCAGCATACTTGCTGGCTACAGTCCCGGTTATAAAGCAAATTTCAATTATCCTACAACTAACAGTTTACAAATATCCTCTTATGGTGTTGTGTAAAGATAAAAAGACACTACAATCTAAAAAAATTAAACAGCCACACCACACCACCACAAAATGCCGGAAATATTTATAAAACCTAAAATATAAAATTAAAAAGCCAACCTTTTCTGTTCAACAACAAAAGATATTTCCTTCAATCTTCGATTTGTTTTGTCTAGCTGGTCCATGGTTTTTTTAAATCTGTCAGCTAATTGAGCCATTTGAATGTCCATTTGTGTTTCTTCACGTTCTATTTTTTCTTCAACTAAGCAATCTTCGAGCATAGTGCGCAAGAATCTACCGTAAGCAATCTGGCGGTTAAGAGATTCGAATTCAGGGCCAGAAACGCCTGCTTTCTTAATTGTTCTGTCTCCTTCACCAATAACCGTAAAGTTGTTATTGATTCTAGGTCGCCCAAGAACATTTTTTTCTTTAATCGATGTGGTAGGAATTCTAGGTAATTTTGATGTTGTAGCCGGTACTGACGACTGTCGTTTAGTAATCGATGTTTTTGATATTGGTGTGGCGAAAGATTTTCTTTTATCCGACATATTATTATAGGAATAGAAATAAAGGAAAACGTATCAACTAAAATCGTACCAATTTGTTAACAAATTCCGTTTACAGTTCGACAGTTATTTAAAGTTTAAAGTTTAAACGGCGGGCTGTCGTGGCGACGATACACTCATAGACACTGACCTCTGCTATATATAGAGGTCAGTGCTCATAGAGCACAATCAATCTACATAACTATGATGATAGATTCCGTTCAAAAATAAAAACAAACGGATTTTGACAAATTCATAAAACTTTACGAAACGTATATTTAAATGAAATATTATTAATATAAATCATCAAATATAATATAATACAATTTTCACAATATAAAATAATTACCGATAATAAAAATGAACAAAGGTATCATCATCATCATCATCATCACAGCCCTTCACAAGTCCACTGCTGAACATAGGCCTCCCCCAAGTAATGCCACAAAGCACGGTCTTGAGCCACCTGCATCCATCGACTTCCTGCATATCTTACCAGGTCGTCACTCCATCTAGTGGGGGGTCGCCCTACACTACGCCTACCGGTACGAGGCTGCCACTCGAGAACCTTTCTTCCCCATCGGTTATCGGTTCTTCGAGCTATATGGCCGGCCCATTGCCACTTCAGCTTACTAATCCGTTGGGCTATGTCGGTCACTCTGGTTTTACTGCGGATATCCTCATTTCTGAGTCTATCACGCAGAGAAACTCCGAGCATAGCCCTCTCCATAGCTCGCTGAGCGACCTTGAGCGTCCTCATACGGCCAGCAGTGAAGGACCACGTCTCTGATCCGTAAGTCATCACTGGCAACACGCACTGGTTGTACACTTTAGTTTTCAGAGATTGAGGTATACCTGACGAGAAGATGTGTCGTAATTTCCCGAACGCTGCCCAGCCGAGTTGAATCCGTCGATTGACCTCTCGGTCGAAATTGGACTTACCTAGTCGGACTATTTGTCCCAGATAAACGTACTCGTCAACAACTTCGAGCATAGTGCTCCCAACAACTACCGGCATAGGTGTGACATGGACATTAAACATGGTCTTTGTTTTGTCCATGTTCATCTTAAGACCTATCCGTTGGGAGGCACTATTGAGGTCATTGAGCATAGTGCTTAAGTCCTCCAGCGATTCTGCCATAAGGACTATATCGTCGGCAAATCGAAGGTGAGTGATGTACTCGCCATTGATGTTAATACCGTATCCTTTCCAGTCCAGTAGCTTGAAAACGTCTTCCAAAGCAGCGGTGAAGAGTTTCGGGGATATAACGTCACCCTGTTTTACACCTCTCTGCAGTTGGATAGGTTTCGAGCTCTGGTTCTGTACTCGGATAGCCATCGTAGCCCTACTGTCAAGGCTGAAGACTGAGTGTGGCAGCATCGTTTCCGGGACACCTGAGATTTTGAGTGAGATTGAGAGGTTCTATGGGCAGCTGTACACATCATCGTTGGAGCCACACGCAAGTGTGAGTAACGATCCAAGAGCAAGTCTTATCCGACACTATTCCGATGATATCCCGGACGTCAGTCTAAGCGAGATTAGAATGGCTCTCCAGCACCTTAAAAACGGCAGGGCCTCTGAACAAAGGTATGTAAAGACAAAAATAAACGTATCATGATGTTCGATTTGGAACGAAACACTTTTCACAATAAATTGCCCCAGGTTTATTTTTCAATTAATTTATTATTACGCTTTAAGTGTGCTGCCTATTTAAGTAAATTTATGAAAAATAATTAAAAAATAAAAACACAATAAGACTAAGCACTTAACAAAGACCTTTCAAAATTTAAAAAGGTCGTAAAGGTATAAGGTGACTTAATTCAAAAAATCGCGTCACTTTTACGAATCAAAATTCACTTCAAACCATTATTCAAGCGACAAAACAGGAGTGACAATCCGTTTACGGTCAACTTCCCGCCAAAAGTCTTTATTTTTGTGGTCGTAATTTTTATATTTCAATAGGTTTACTCATCTTAGAAATTAAGATAAAATGACTTGCCGTAATGCTTCACACGCTAGTAGCTGATATACTGAGTATGGTATGTTACGCCTATGAATACTTTTTGATTATTTGTTTATTTTACCGTAGGTTTTGCTCAATACATATGCTTTAACATTTTCCATAACAAAAACCAGAATAGAAATACGAAGTGATTACGTAAATAGTGATAATATTATTCTAGCTCTGATAACTTAAAAAAAGTTTAAGGTTAATGACCTTTTTAAATTTTGAAAGGTCTTTGTTAAGTGCTTAGTCTTAATGTGTTTTTATTTTTTAATTATTTTTCATAAAGTTACTTAAATAGGCAGCATACTTAAAGCGTAATAATAAATTAATTGAAAAATAAACCTGGGGCAATTTATTGTGAAAAGTGTTTCGTTCCGAATCGAACATCATGACACGTCTATTTTTGTCTTTACCTTTGTTCATTTTCATTATCGATAATTATTTTATATTGTGAAAATTGTATTATATTATATTTGATGATTTATATTAATAATATTTCATTTAAATATACGTTACATAAAGTTTAAAGAATTTGTGAAAATCCGTGTGTTTTTATTTTTGAACGGAATATATCGTAGTTATGTAAATTGTGATCTATGAGTGTATCGTCACCATGACAGCCATTTAAATAACTGTTAAACTGTAAACGGAATTTGTTAACAAATTGGTACGATGTTAGTTGATACGTTTTCCTTTATTTCTATTCCTATAATAATATGTCGAATAAAAGAAAATCTTTCGCCACACCAATATAAAAAACAACGAAATCTAAACGACAGTCGTCAATACCGGCTATATCATCAAAATTACGTAGAATTCCTACCACATCGATTAAAAAAAATGTTCTGGTGCGAACTAGAATCAATAACAACATTACGTTTATTGGTGAAGGAGACAGAACAATTAACAAAGCAGACATTTCTGGCCCTGAATTCGAATCTGTCTACCGCCAAATTGCTCACGGTAAATTCTTGCGCACTATGCTCGGAGATTGCTTAGTTGAAGAAAAAATAGAACGTGAAGAAACACAAATGGTCATTCAAATGGCTCAATTAGCTGACAGATTAAAAAAAAACCATGGACCAGCTAGACAAAACAAATCGAAGATTGAAGGAAATATCTTTTGTTGTTGAACAGAAAAGGTTGGCTTTTTAATTTTTTATTTTAGGTTTTATAAATATTTCCGGCATTTTGTGGTGGTGTGGCTGTTTAATTTTTTTTAGATTGTAGTGTCTTTTTATCTTTACACAACACCATAAGAGGATATTTGTAAACTGTTAGTTGTAGGATAATTGAAATTTGCTTTATAACCGGGACTGTAGCCAGCAAGTATACTGACCCTACGTTTATGCCAGTTAAAGGTTATACATAGTTACAGCCTATATAATATTATTATTAACCCTTCAGTCCCCATAAAAATCCCATGCAGTCGTTGCATGTGTTCGTCAAATCCTGAACGGTCGCATGTGACTGCACCCACTCACAGCACTTTTTTTTTAAATTTATTAGAATCAACAAACAGTTTACACAATATTTATTAATCTAAAATACATTCACTACAAAAATATAATAGTGCAACCAACACCGTTGACCACCAATTACTATTAACAAATGTTTAGATTGAGAATAGCGTACAATTTTTTCATATAATACAGTGATTGTGTTTTCAAATGACAATACAATAATAAAGAAAAATAATTATTATTGTAATAACCAATTATACAAACTCATTCTCCTCTGAGTACTGAAAGTAATTCTTTTTTATAAATACCCACCTTGTGAGCAAAAATGTCAATATTATTGAAAGTGTTATTATAACAAATTAACAACATATATATATGGGGATCATTTATCTACGTTGGTTCGACATTTATTAGTAAAAAATGTGTATTTGGCACGAACTCTGCGACACAATAGCCTATTTGGTACTCTGTATTGTATCATCTTAACTAGTTGTATACTATCGTACCTGTTATGACAAATATCATACAGTAACATAGCTTGAATCTGTTGACGTCTGGATTCTAATTTTAGTAAGTTATGTTCGACCATCAGTTGATAGTAGGGTAATTTAACTCGTCTGCACTTGTAATTTACACTACGCAAAAACTTTTTCTGAATGGATTCTATTTTATCTATATATTTATTATAATACGGACACTAAATAGCTACCGCATATTCGAGTTGTGATCTTATTAAAGATTTATAGAGGTGCAAATAAGTGAGAGGTTTTTTAAATTCACGTCCAATACGCATCACGAATCCATACATTTTAAGAGCCTTATTAAGGACATTTTCAACATGTGTATCAAATATAAGTTTACTATCTAATATTATTCCTAAATCTTTAATTTTATGAACTTTTTTTAATGGAACTCCATATAAAGAATAATTAAAATTACTTTCCTGACGCTTACGGGTGGCTTTACATTTATTAACACTCAAATCTAACTTATTGTTTTTACAGTAAGATGTAAAATTATCTAAATCTTTTTGAAAGTTAAGATGATCATGATAATATTGAATTTTGTGATAAATTTTAATATCATCTGCGTACAGAATAAAATTACAAAACTTGAAACAACTATTAACATCATTAATGTACAGGATAAAAAGAAGAGGCCCTAAGATTGATCCTTGTGGCACACCAGAACTTATATGCACAATATCTGACTCAAAACCTCTTATAACTACTTTTTGTGTACGATTTGTCACATACGACTTAAACCATCTCCACAAATTACCACGGATACCATTAAAGGCCAGCTTTTCCAGAAGTAGTTTATGGTCTACGAGATCGAAAGCTTTGCGGAAATATGTGTATATGTAATCAGTCTGGACGTTATTATCCAGATTCTCAAATAAGTAGTTTGTATAAATTAATAAGTTAGATATAGTCACAATATAATTATTATATTGTGAAGACTAGGATATAACACATTATGTATTAACCTTTCAAAAGTTTTAGCGAGTGTTGATAAGATTGATACCGGTCTATAACTGCCTTCTAAATTGGTACAACACGAGCTGTTTTCCAAATAGATGGGCATATCCCATCTTTTAAGCATTTATTAAAAAGGTAATGAATTGGTTTCGCAATAGTATGTGCTGTAGCTTTCATAAAATAAGGAGGAATGTTGTCAATACCAGCTCCTTTATTCGCGTCTAAATTTAAAAGGGACTTTGTTACATCTTTTTCAAAAATAGAAATGTCAGTAATAACGAAATCAGAATTGTTATTACTTGATATATTAATATCATCATAATTCAAATCGTCAGTGACTGAAGTGGGTTCAAATACCGAAAAGAAAAAACCAGAAAATAAATTACATACTTCCTTGGGGTTACTAGCAAATTTGTCTTTATAAAAAATTTCTGACGGAGTTTCTAGGCTACTTTTGCAATTTGTTACATATTTCCAGAAATATTTAATATTTTGCTTTACACAATTCTCAACAGTATTCATATAACAAGCATAACGTAATTTAGATTCAGTTTTAAAACGTTTTCTCTACAATGTAAATGTTTTATAATCTGATAAATTTCCGTACTTTTTCCATTTAACCCAAGCATTATTTTTATTTTTGAAGATATGTATCAATGATGAATCAAACCACTTAGGAAAATTGCTGTTTTTTACAGTTTTCCTTACTATATATTTGCGTATAATACCATATATTCCGTCAAAAAATAAGTCCACAGCAGCTTCAGCAGAAACGTCGTCTTTCATCAAAGCCTTCCATTCAGTATCTAATATTACTTTATTAATCAATACGTAGTCCGCACTTTCAAAACAGTAACGTGTGTGTTTACTCGGCATGCCTCGTATCTTCTCGACAAACGGTACAATTAGATAAAATGGAGGATGATGTTTATCAGTACTTACTAAAGGAATAGGGGCTGGACATAATATATAGTCATTTATGTTAGTAATAAATAGATCTAGAATAACATTATTTGAATTTTTATATATATGTATTAATTTGTGTAAAATGATAAAGTGATATAAAATTTATTAAACTATTGCGTGAAATTGATATATCGGAAGAATAATTACTTTCAAAATTAAGATCCTTATTATTCTAATCTATAGATGGCATATTGTAGTCTCCTACTAGATAAAAATTATTACGTAATTGGTAATGATTAAATATACAAGATGAATATTCTATATAGCTCAAGTATACATCACTCTTTTGGTTAGGCGCAATATAGACAGCATTTAATAGATAAAGTTTTTTACCACCCCTATTCTCAAATGTAACTTAATCTATAAGTGGGGAAAATGCGGACGCAGAGAAAGAAGTCCGGACCTCGACAGTGCTAAGTGTACGGCGTACCGCTATGAGCACTCCCCCACCGTCCCTCCGATCACACGCATCACGATTTCTGTTGCATCTATACACAGTATATCTGGTATCAATGAATTCGTTATCAGAAATATGACTATGTAACCATGTCTCCGTTAAAATAATTACATCATATGCATGAGAAAGAATGTTCGTATATATAGTATGTAATTTGGTCCGAAGCCCACGGCAGTTTTGGTAGTAAATAGACAAGCTATCCATTTTTAAATGTATGAAATTGTACTGTTACTGAAATAATAATGTTAAATTTATGTATGATTAATATGTATTGAATTATATGTAACCCTACAAATAAATAGACATCAACAGTTATAATAATTATTTCCTTAAGATAACGAGTAAAAACATAAACAAAGACTATTTTGCCCGCTTTGATCAACAGCCAACTTAGTATATTAAATAACATGTAAACAACATTCGTAAGGCTCAACGTACTTTTGCTTACCCGCAAGGGTATAAATATAAATATTAACAAATTGATATTTAATTAAATTTACCTCACAAAATAAAATATAATAAGAGAAAGGAGAATGAGTACATACTAGGACAATGTTAAATATTATTAGTTTTAAGTCCAACCTGTAATTGTTTAAAAAGACACCACTATTTAATCTTTTTAATATTATCCAAAGATCGAATTGCCATAGCTTGTGACATATCATTCTTACGCACTAATATAGTTCCATGCTTAAGCCACACATACTTGTATTCATTAGCTTTAGCTGCATTTCGACATTCACGAAATAAAATCTTATTTTTTAATGTCAAATGCTCATTTACATATATATTATGCGATGGTCCAGAGATTGATAACTTCTCTGTATTTAAATTTTTACGTACACGGCAGGCAGCGAGGAAGTTGTCACGAAGAATTCTTGATGAAAATTGTACAATAATATTTTTTGGGCGAGAATCCTTGTGGTCAGCATGAGGAACTCGATGAATTGCGGTGATATCAGTCGAAAGAATCTTTTGGTCAACTATAACCCCCAAATTAGTTATTATAGTAAAAAGATTTTCGCCTTTTTTTTTTCAGGTAAATTTGAAATTTCAAGATTATTGCCCCTAGCCTGTTGTTCCATTGATGATAACTTATTTTCCAGACCAGCATTCCGCTCCGAAACCGGATTCAATCAAGAAATCGAAACCGAGAAATACGAGCGTCAAATGAATCTTGACGTAACTCAGAGGAACATAGTGTGTTATCGATATCCATAAGCTTATTGTTAACTTCCAGTAACGAATTTTTAAAGCTGTCATATCTGAAATTATACCGGCTACGGCCAATTGAATGTTAGTTAAGGCATCCGTTATTTTGGTGAGCTCAGCAGACAAAACAGAGCGCACCGAGTTTGTCACTAATTTTTCTATGTATTTTTCGTATAAGATAATATTGGAAAATATCGTACTACGTTCGGATATGTCGTCCATTTCTTTGCGCTTTCTACAAGTAACGAAGTTATTGGTAGAATCGATTTCACGGTGCAGATCTGGGCTTGACATACACTTTATCTTTTGCGGAGGTGTACGTTGCATCGCAAATACACAAGTGAGAAGAAAAATATGCACTTGTCTTTTGCTAGCGGAGGTGAGGTGCGGGCGCCCTCCAACTCACTCTTCACTTTAGACCATTAAAACTTATATTTAGAGACTACTTTTCTACGAAGAAGTTTGGCATTATAAAATCTATACAATATTCTCTATTCTGTGGTCTAAAAAGTCAGGTTTTACTTCATTACAAAAAGACTTGTATTTTGATAACAAAAAACGGATACATGACAAATGGATGTCGGCAGCGTGAAAATCACTATTATATTACTCGATGTTATTTACTTAAAAAGATAAATTATATTCACACAAAAACTCATAACAATTTTATAATAAAATACTATAGTACTACTAATAATATACTATACTAATAAAACAAAAAAAAAATCCAAAAATTAACACAACAACATCCAAATGAAAATGGCGTATGTAATGAAAGTAGGTTATAAATAAATATCCACAGACTAACTGACTGTTTATTGCACTAGAGGATAGAAAATTTGATATTGATTCTATATTGCCAAACTTCTTCATAGAAAAGTAGTCTCTAGTTATAAGTTTTAATGTGTGCATGATCGAATCCGACCGCTTGGAAGTTTGACGGAATAACTCCGTGGTCGAATTCGTAATGCCGACCTCCACCGAGACTTAGAGCTCCCAACAATCCAGCAGTTCCTTAAATCACTCTCTGAGAGATTTTTCAAAGCCTCAGAGTCCCACCCAAATCATCTCATTCGTGAGACAGCTGCCTATGCAGCCCCTGTCCACACTCGCTATAGTGTGCGCAGACCGAGAAACTCTCTCTCGCACCCCCTCAACAAGCTTTCGGCTGACCTGAACTGCCTCCTGGCGGCTCAGGCCGAGCCTACTTAACACATCCCTTAATCTGCCTTAGTTAGGCACACTTCTAAGCGGCATTTCGCCGCTTGCGCCCTCCTTTCTGTCAAGGAGGGTCGCGTCAGTCTACAGCTTAAAGATCTCTCGTCAGATCTGTAAGCCAAACACAAAAGGTGGAGTTTAGTGGGTAAAAGTCTCCACATAACCACGCAAGCGGCTGCGTGGTATGCTATGAGCATTCTCCACCTCCCCCCCCCGTTACCGCAGGGTTGCCCTTAATTGCTTCGGGCAACAAAAAAAAAAACAGGCCCGGTCAACTCTATAATTATGGACAGAATGAAATACCTACGGGGGCTGAATTTTATTATTGCCATTTGTCAGATAAATGTCTTGTTTCATAATTAGTAAGATTTTGCTAAAGATAAATTACACTCTGAAATTTTGAATATAGAAATCATAATACATAGGAAGATAACAATTCCTGTTGTATTTTTCTACGTTATCATATTAACATATCTTTGACAGTAAAAGAAAAATAAATGTTTTCTTTTTGTTTTGGTTTTCAATGAGTAGAAAATTATATTTTTTTCTGGTAGCACCAAACATTTGTATCAGTCGTAGACAGAGAATCCTATCTCTGTCTACGGTATGAGTTAAGCATGGGCGTTTTCAGTTTTTATCTGCAACGGTTACATAACCGATATCTAGTTTTCATATCGTTATTGAAAACCGTTTTCAGATATCGATATCAATAGTAATGGTTTGCTACTGAATGTGCAAACGACAACCGAAACATAACCGCAAGCTGTACTACCAGTGCAAAATGTATTTATGAATTACATAGATTATTCTAGATTAGAAGTCAGAGGTTCTAATGTTATTGTTATCTTAGATGTAATATTTAAACATGTATGTTACAGCTTATTAAAGTACACTGCTGAACACATAGGCCTCCTCATAGATTGTATCATAGGTGGGATATTTGCCATAGTTGCCGCGCTTGGCAAGCGGGTTGCCAACCAGTTTTTTGAAGTGAAACTTTTTACGGGAGGGCTTTGATTGAAATGTTGATCCGCAACCTTTTTGTATGGCAAAAAGTGGTGGGTGTTAACACTACGTACGTACCGGTCGATCATTCAAGTCTCAAACGCAAGGCATTACATACCATAAAGTATATAGTAGTACAAATACAAGATTACAAAGGTCCTTTGTTCAAATACTAATCTTATATTAATTTTATTTAAGACAGTTACCAAGGTATACATATTTATTTTAGTAAGATTAAGCTGAGCGCACTTCAGTAATAGCGCCATCTACTATGTTGTATAGATAAAGATATTTTATAGAACAAACATTCATTGACTCCCAAGGTGGTATGTAGGATAGATGACCTAGACCTAGATGGCATAAACCTAAAAAGCTTGCTGCCCATCTCCTGATTAGTTTCCTTATGTCGCCTTTTATGACACCCACGGGATGATAATCGGGTAATGAATAAAATTACATTCATTCTGTCCTTATTTATTTCTATAATTTTGCTACCCGTTTTTTTCAAATTGAGACGTAGGATCAGAGTCTGATTTCAAAGTCTATAATCAAAGTGTATTCTTAAGAAATAAACATAATTTATAAATTATATACATTTATAGAAAATTATTTTAGTTAGTTTATTTTGTAACAATTATTTAAGTTGGCGATTTTCCTTTATGCTTAACTAGGCTTAGACCTAGCAGAAAAGTTTTGAATTCGAATTTTCAATTCAATTTGAAAATTCAACTCTATTAACCGCAGGTTTACCTGATTTACACTAGCCTCTGATTCGGCTCCGGTGGAAGAAGTTGTCGGAATTGTCTTTTTTATCGAAGTGAGACCATATTTCACTAGCCTTACGCGACATTTTGAAAGTCTTTATTCAAAAATGATTAAAAGTCTAAATCAAATTAAACTACACTATGCTATATTATATTTACACTTTACACATAATTGTCTGAATTACAACTACCTAATGCACAAAATACACACAAATATTGCAAATAAATGCACAAACGCAACGTCATGGATGTTATTAGGTATCTTAGCGAATGGCACGAGCAAGAGCCACCAAGACCAAGTGCGTAATTGTTGCGTTCTAGAAAAAAGCAAATTCTAAACTTTCCATCCAAAATATAAAAAACATAAACATAAATTTGCCTAAACCAAATATAATATGATCATACAAATGCAAGTCTTGTGTCTATTGTCCTAAAAATCATTTAAATTTGACAACTCTCACAACTACACAAACTTAAAAATTAGGCAATTTTAACCATTTGAAATTCGACCTTTTTGCTTTAGGTAATTATATCCAGATGTGCATTGAGTACCGTGTGAAACTAAAATTACCAAAACAGAAATCCTCTCTTTCTATACGAATTTATGATACCGTCGCAAGAACAAGAAACAATGAATATCAATGAAGGACATCGCATCGGTTTAGTGCGTGTGCCGTGTTGGCATATCGTTCCGGTGTTTGCGTTTTACAAATAAAAGCCTTGTGCCTAATGAGCTAAAGATCATTTGAAATTTGATAACTATCACAACTCACTGACCTTTATATATACAAGTATACTGGACTGGCTAAAAACCGTGACATGATGAAACGATTTGATTTCCGCCATTTTGGCGCTGACAGCAGAAGTGCACGTCCACGGAACTAATAATAGGGATGAGACAGTGTACCAAATTATATCGATAAAATTGTATAACCTACCTATACATAAATAGAATGGACTCTATGTATAGATGGACTCTACCCGTAACGTCCATTCTATTTATGTATCATATTAATGTAATGCCATTATGATTCATCATCATTAAAGCCCTTCACAAGTCCACTGCTGAACATAGGCCTCCCCCAAGAAATGCCATAAAGCAAGGTCCTGAGCCACCTACATCCATCAACTTCCTGTATGTCTTACCAGGTTTTGACTTCATCTAGTGGGGGAACTTCCTACCCTTCACCTGCCGGTACGAGGCTGCCACTCGAGAACCTTTTTTCCCCACCGGTATTCGGTTCTTCGAGCTATATGGCCGATCAGTTGCAACTTCAGGTTACTAATCCATTGGCAATGTCGGTCACTCTGGTTCTGCTGCAGATATCTTCATTACTAAGTTTGAACCCCTGAGCATAGCCCTTTTCATAGCCCGCTGAGTGACTTCGAGCTTTCTCATACGGCCAGCAGTGAAAGACCTCTTCTCAGATCCATAGGTCATCACTGAAACTGACTGACGAGAAGATGTGTTGTAATCTCACGAACGCTGCCCAGCCGAGTTGAATCCGTCGATTGACCTATCGGTCGAAATTGAACTTACCTAGTCGAACTATTTGTCCCAAGTAAAAATACTCGTCAACCACTTCGGCTAAGTGCTCTCAAAAACTACCGGCACAGGTGTGACATGGACATTACACATTACTTTTGTTTTGTCCATGTTCATCTTAAGACCCATCCGTTGTGAGACACTATTGAGGTCATTGAACATAGTGCGTAGGTCATCCAGTGAGTCTGTCATAAGGACTATATTGTCGGCAAATCGGGAATGTTACGTTACCCTGTCTTACACATCTCTACAGTTGGATTAGTTTTGTACTCTGGTTCTGTACTCGGATAGCCATCGTAGCCCTTAGATCATTCAACTAAAAATTTATTAAGATTAACTACACAAAATAAAAATAAAAACATAATTTCCCAAACAATTTATTATCAACCGTTCATTTAGTTCTAGTATTATAAAAAAACAAATCAGCTGCTATAATAACGCCTATTCTAATCAACTACAGGTCCGTCTATAGACAGTAAAATATATTCTACTATATAAAAATTTATGTTTGTACGTACTTTCTACGATGCTATACCGTTCATCAGATTGCGGTAAAACTTAGTCAACTTATTGGTTGCACTTCAGCGGAGGTTATACGCATGGTACAATTAACTGACATTAGGTGGCGTGCGGTATTGAAAGTTATAGAAAGTTATATATCATTCTATTTCAATGATTGTATTACCATTCCAAATTATACAATATAACTGTTCCAAATTTTTAACGATATTTCCACAGTTACTTCTTCTGCGGCAGCTATGCGCCGGGTGCGAGCTAGCAAAAGAATATTAAAAATATAAACTTTGAATTACATTGTTATCAGTTATTTACAACGTCATTTTCGAAATTAAAATAATATTAAAAAAAAAACAGAAATTATCATACAGTCCTACTTTCCGTGGTATCATCCCAAGAATGATGATTAATCGATCATGGACGGCGGTAGTCACTTAACATCAGGTGAGCCGCATGCTCGTTTGCCCCCTCTTCTATAAAAAAAAGAATACTGGCTACGTGTCCTCTCTGAATGGCTACACTTAGCCTTAAAGCAAGGAAACAACAAACTAAACAACTTTTTATTACCAGCAGCGAAGATCAGTCACAGATACAGTTTTTCAGGAACTACACCGCACGGACCAATAGTCTCTACAGCAAATTGCACAAATATGTACTCATCTTCTAAATATTCTGGTCTAGTCACTTAGTTCAGTTGCCTCTAATGCCACCTCTGTTTTAGACGAGGTACCCCTGAGATGGGATGCTGTCAAAGTGTTATCAAGTAGTATCCCACACCAAAGCTTTATCTGTTTCTCTCTCTCTCTCTCTCTCAAGCAACCAAACCCATACCGTCGGGTCTCCTGGTATCGACTCTTAATATTCTATAAACATCTTAAACCGAGGAAACATTTATAGAGATACGAGCTCTTCGGATGACATTGTCCAAGAACTAAGGACAACATTATATGAAAGAATACCATAACATTATTACTCGGTTGTTTAACCGTGTATTAAGGATGGATTCGACCAAATACTATGTTAAACCAGAGTAACTACCCTCGTATAATTTTACTCTTTGGTCTTACACCAAGATAACTTCATTTTGCGTTTTGTAACACAAACGTAGAGAAGCCAATACTGGCTATTGTTACTCCAGAGTTGGTAGTTGGTGGTAGAGTTTATTCTTTCGAACAAGTAAACCAACTTAAACATAAATATAACTGTTGTAAAGCACAATCCAAGATTTGAGGTCCACATAATTTGCCGTAAGTGTAAATAATACCGCCCAATGGCAGCCCCTCCTTAGTTGCTGACTTCTTCCCCCGTTTTCATTCTCAGATAAGGCGCACCAGAAACAAGCCACACTGTTCTTCGCGTCCTTTAATTCCACCTGCACTATGGACTCCCCGAGCCCGATATGTGAATAGAGCCAGGGAAAACTATCACTTGGAAGCATCAAGTGGTGCAGCCTCATCAAAGTCGCGAAAGATAGTCGAGTGGCGCATTGCCAATCGCCATACCAACATTCCTCTTCCCTTATGACTCCACCTCGACTACAGCGGTACAGGGAGAGGAATCTCCTCTAGCTGCAGCCCACTAAAACACATACAAAGTGGCTCGACGTCATCAGGTGACCATTCGACCCTTGGCTATGGCCCTTGAGTTTGGTGAAAAATGAGGAAAGAAGAAATAAAAAAAACATTCGAAATAATCTAATACTTTATACTTACTGGTACTGGTACTACCAGAAAATATTGTTTGTTCTTTTTCAAAGTGGTGCAGTTCTCATGTCTAATAAAACAGTCGTCTGTGAAATGTTTGGAGCAAATATGATAATTTTGTTTCGGACGCCAATTCACAATATTTATGCTTTTAAGCCATATTTAATCTAGGTTCACTTGGAAACCTGTTAATTAATAAACATTTTATAATCGTCTGTTGTTGGTGACTTTGTTTGTTAACAGATATGGGTAGGAAAAAACATCGATAAGTATTATAGACAAGAACTAATTTTACTGTTTATCAAAACTCAGTAATATACAGCCAAAGATGTTGGTATATATGATATTAAGATTAGTAACAAATTTTTAAGTACTTATATTATCAAATAGTTTTAATTTGTTTCATATTTGCTGCAAATTCACTTACTTGTGAAATGTTATACCACTTCCCTTTTGGTAACGAGTTTTACAGATTACGCACACTCTCATTATTAGTAAAAATAATTCTTATTATGTAACTAATATTATACACAATCAAACAACATAAAATACTTTCGTTTTTTAGTTTAAAAGTTCAAAATACATATTTATTAAATAAGACAATTTAAATATGACAACAGACTTTGGCATATTATGTCAATTTTATTTTTCAAGACATCCTTTAGCGGCGCTTCAAATTGGCACAGTCACCTTCTATGGTATAGCCAGTCCAGCGTATTTGTATATATAGAGGTCAGTGATCACAACTACACAAACTTAAAATTTAGGCAATTTTAACTATTTAATATTCGACCTTATTGCTTCAGGCTATATATTATATTTCGCAATGTGCACCGTTGTGTGATAACTACCAAAACATCGCAACGATATCCATATTCGCTTCATCTCTTTCTATACTTATTTAAACTATCGTTGCAAGAACGAGAAGCGATGAGTATCAACAAAGGTCATCGGTTAGTGGGCCGTTTTCAGTAGTGGGATATCGTACCGCAGTTTGCGTTATGCGTTTCGGTTTCGTTTTCGTACGTTGGTTAGGTATATGGTTTTGGTTGGATATGTGATAACGGTTTTTTTTTTACTTAGGTTTATCGATATGATATGATATCTGATAACATAACATTATTAGTTACGTTTTGATATATATTTGATATATAGTCTAATGCCTACTATTGAGGCATAGCATAGATCATAAATTATCAGGCCTGCGACAGCTTTAGTTCCAAAAAATGCGTTATGGCGCTACTGTCGGTCAGTGTTGCCAACGTAGGCGATTTTTCGCCATTTAGGCTACTCAGAACGAGAATCGGCGACGAAAAAATCTAAAAGGCGACTGGTCGCCAATTAGGCTACTCTAGGGACAAGTTTTTTTTATACTACCTAGTATGTAAACAGGCATACGGCCGTGCCTGTGTGTAATGTTGGTACAATTTGATATTAAGATGGTCACCCTATTTGTTTGTGATTGGTTATTTTTGGGGAATACCCTGAATTTGTCTTAGCTATTATGTAACCAAATTTAGAATGCAATAGGTTTACATGTATTCTGTTATGAATAATGACTACCGCAATTATCTGTGTTGTACTGACTAAATAGTTCAGATAAATTCCGGTTATTCCTTGGTCACTTTGGCTTTGTAAAACTTCTCCTGTGCTTGTAAAATGGGTAAACATGGTAAATATATCAAGCATTATCGTGATGAATGGGAAAAACTGCCAGCATTTAAAAGTAAGTAAAAACTAAAGTACCGTTTTATATTAATGTTTTGTGTGATGTAGGTAGGTATATTATCTGTTACATGGTCTTACTTCTTCCAGACCTGTGTTCCAGACTAAATTAGGAGTCGTGGTTTTTAGTTTCACAATCATTTTTTTAATATTTACCCAGACTATTTAAGATGTATTAGGTAGACTGAAACTGCACAAATAGCAAGAAATATGATCTGATTATCAACCACTAGTACCATACCTATCTGGTACATACAATATATGCATACCTACTGCCTAGTGTATTATTGAGTTCAATTTCTTTTACAGATTGGCTTAATCGAGCACCTGTTGTACTGACGGATAGTGGTAAAGGTGAGGCATTTTGTAAATTATGTATCACACCACTCCGTGCGCACAAAACGGATTTAGAAAAGCACATGAAAACTAAAACACATAAAGACAAAGAATTAAGTTTTTCTAAAAAGCAACCCAAGCTTGCATCGTTTGGTTACTCCTCAATTAGTAACAGTTCATCAAAAGAAAAAATAATAGACATACAAATATCTGCCTATGTCGCCGCTCACAGCTCCATACGCAGCATTGATCATCTGACAGATGTGTTAAAAACCTGTGGGACAGGGAGTCCTCTTGAAAACATTCAATTACATAGATCAAAGTGTTCGGCCATTATAAAAAATGTTCTAGAACCAGCCATGCTCAAGGAACTTTTAGAAGAAGTTGGTAACCAGAGCTACTCTATTATACTGGATGAATCCACTGACGTAACAACAGAAAAGTACATGGCATATTGCATCCGATACTATAATTCAAAACTAGAAAAAATAGTTGTTGATTTTTTAGGCTTCCAAGAAGTATTTGAAGCAACAGCTAGCGGCCTATATACATCATTTAAGAGTTTTATGTCTAAAATGGGTTTGAATCTTCAAAATCTAATTGCAATAGGAACTGATGGAGCAAGTAACCTTTGTGGCAAACATAACTCCCTTTTCACTCTCTTACAAGCAGATATACCCCATTTATAGCTATTGAAATGTGTGTGTCACTCCCTTAGTTTATGTGCCTTCAAAGCGTGCACGGAATTACCTTCTTGTCTGGAATATTTACTTAGGAAAACCAGAAGTTGGTTGCCCACAGTCCACTGCGAATGAAAATATATCAGACCTTATTTGAAACCATTAATGATGGTAAAAAACCCTTGAAACTAACTCAGCTATCCGCAACTAGATGGCTGGCGTTTCATTCAGCTGTTAAAACAAACATCAATCAGTGGCTTGAGCTAAAAACTCACTTTAATGTGGTGAAATCATCAGAAAGATGTTATACAGCAAGGGAGCTTGCTGCCATGTATAATGATGATACAAATTTATTATATTTGTTGTTTTTGTCTCCGATATTAAAAGAAGTAACAAACGTGAATATTATATTTCAAGCAAATGATGCAAATATCACAAAAATATATAGCGATCTTCAGATTCTTTTACTTTCCATTGCAAGACGTGTTTTCAAACCAATATTTCTCAGAAGTCAAAGTCTGTCTGAGAATGCCTCTGTATCAATGCTCCATGAAGCAGATATTGCAGCTGTTAGGCGAGCTTTAGAAAAAGCCGGAGCTCCATTTGAAAATTCACTGCTTCCACTCGACTCAATTGACTTTGGAGAAAATTTCAATGATTTACTTGCAAAAAAGACTGTTTCTGCCGACAAAGCCAAAGAAGTGAAGCAACGATGTTCTGCTTTTCTTGTACGCTTAGTAAGAGAATTAGTTGACAGGTTACCGCTTAATGTGTCGGTGGTGGAAAAAATTGAACTTTTTGCACCAAGCCGCGTATGTCTCTCAACCGGCAAACCCAACATTAAAGATTTTCCCTGGCAGGTGATCCCAATATTGACCCAGAAGCTGTTATGAACCAATGGCGCGTATTAAGCACTATACGCATTGAGGAGATAATCGGAACAGCTGCTTCTCCTAATGACATTGTAAATTTTTGGATACAAGTGCTAAAAATGAAAAATGCTGGTGGAAGCCTGATGTTTAAAGAACTAGCAGTGTTTTCGATACGATGCCTTTCATTACCTTTGAGTAATGCCGTCGTTGAAAGAATTTTCAGCGTAATGGGGACAATCAAAACAAAATTAAGGAATCGCATGCAACTACCCATGCTGATCGCAATTCATAGGATTCGTACCCATATGAATGTAAGAGGTTTGTGTTGTAACAACTTTCAACCAAACAATCACATGGTGAGTTTGCACGCTGGCAGAAAAATGTATGTCTCCGGTGGATCTTGCGCTAGTACTAGCACATCAACTACTACTGAAGACGATGAAAGCCTTGGTGATGCCTTATTATTGCTAGCAGAGGACGAATCAGAATAATCCTAATTTTTGTTTATTTGTTTATGTAGTTTTTAAAATGTTAACTTTAATTTCATTAACGTGTTCTAAAGATGGCTTATGCCTATTTATCAGTGTGTTATGAACATATGATAAATAAATTGATAAAAACCATATTTTATTTTATTCATATTGATATTTTGGTGTTTGGGCTACTTTAGGCTACTACAGTTGAAATTCGGCGATATTAGGCTACTTCATGCATGAGAATCGGCGACATTAGGGCCAGCGCTGTTGGCAACACTGTGTCGGTAGCCATGTTGATGGCAGCCATTTTGGCCGATTTGTATAACTGTCAAACTGACAGCAGGTTGCAGCAGGTTTTAATTTCTGTCATTCGTGTCGTAGCTCGTGTTCTGCCGCTTTATGTTCCCCTCGCTTTATTGCTTGAGTTGAGATATAATTCCAAGTTCATTGCTCGATACGAATTATATTGCAGTGCTCTGGTGCTTTGGTCCGCAGCCATGGCTCGATAAACTAAGGGTTTTGTGGCTGTCGTTTTTGGTGCCAGTGAATTCCGAACTTCTTGGTCTTTCAAAAGATCAGTTAGTGAATAAACGTGTGTGCCAAAAACACTTCGACAAATGCCAACTGGATGATAAGGGTAATCGTCTCAAAGATGGTTATCCATGCCTGTTTTATACCGAAGAAGTCGAGCATGGGGTTCCTTTAACTGGTAACTGCATTAGCTCTGCATATTAATAGGTACACTTGTAAATTATAGATGTGCTGGTTCACTTTTTCATTCAAAATGTTATTTTTGCTCTTTTTAAAAAGTTTACCGTTTTGAGTAACGTGGTGTTTAAACTTATGCGACGATTTGTCATTTGGCTGCTATATATATTGCCAGCATTACTCAACTAATGTACTCAAAATTACATGTTTTAGTTTTCAATGAACATAGAATGGGGCATACATAATATATGTATAAGTATGATGAAGAATTTCTCTCGATTTTAGTAGAAAATAAATATGCTCTGATAGTTATTCTTCTTTATTAAAATTATTTAATACTGGCTGTATCTTTGTCAATGGATTCGATTCGTGTATTGAGATTTGCGACCATGCTTTAATGCTAAAAGGAGTGTGCTCAAACTGGAGACAGCCACTGTGCTACTTTTTTTGTGAGGGAACAACTGCGGCTGCTACAGTAGTAATGATTTTAAAGGAAGTGGTCACTAAAGTGTCAGCATCTGATTTCATACCTTTAGCTATTGTGTGTGACCAAGGCTCGAAAAGGATTTTAAATGAGGAATATAACGATCAGTAGATAACCTCACTTTACAAATAAAAACATAAATAGCCTTAACATGTACATTGTCTGCATAGCCATTGGAAATGATCTGGAATTAAAAGTATCCATCATCATTATAATATCAAAATATCCGCCTGTATGTCAGTCGAGGTTGTGTTCTATATGTGTGCCAAATTTCATCTAAATGTGTTCAGCTGTTAAACTACAATTGCATAACAAACATCTAAACTTTGACATTTATAAATTAGTAAGATTGGGTGTGTAATCCATGAAATTAACTTGTTGAACATAATATTTGTTTGTTTGCAGATGGAACTATTGAGATATCAGGACAACAGTTAAGTGTGGTATATGATCCGCCGCACTCACTTAAAGGGCTTAGAAACAACCTTCTTACAAAAGACATGGTTTTTAAGAGCAAAGTTGCCACATGGAAGGATATAGAAACTGTATTTGAATTGGCTCTGAATGCCAACTAGGTCATACTAGAATGCATAAAAAGTTAACAGAGCACCATGTTTATGCAGCAAAAATGAAGAAGATGAAAGTTAGTGTAGCTGCCCAAACTCTGAGTGCAACAACCAGTGGAATGCTTAAATACACTGCATTGTTCAGTAAGTTTTTACTTTTTTATCAATATGCCATATCAAATAATCTACACAAATAAATGGAATTGAATAAATAACTATTATATAATAAACTATATAAATAAATCTAATTCACATGTCTATCGGTCTGTTTTTCGGGCTAATCTCTGAAACGGCTGGACCGACTTTGAGAGGACTCACTGGCAGATAGCTGATGCTGATGTAATATTTGAATTAATTCACACGATAATATATATTTAATCTTTGTTTAAAAAGAATTTGATTCTTACTAATTAAGTTTCAATCTAGAAGACTGATAAGGTGTATGATTCAAAGTAATGTACCGAGAGTGATAGGATAGAGACACTCTGTTGTTGTTTTTGTTTGTTTGTTTATGTGTAATAATTATATACTTTACTTATTTACTTAGTATGCTTTTATCTGTAAAACTTATATAATTATGTTATATTTCAGAAACTACAACCTCGGGTGAAAATGTCAGTGAGACAATGGCCACAACAGGTGAAGCTGTAGAATTCATTGATAAGCTCTTTGATAGTGTGAATGGTTCTCGAGGGAGCACTATCCGGGGAAAACTGCGTGGACCAATAAAGCCGAACGCCCATCAACCCTACAATTTATGGACTGAAGCAAAACAGATATTAAAAAATATTCAATTCATTGATAAAAGTAGCAAGAAAACCCGTAAAAATAACAAAACCTATAAAGTTCGAATTCCTTCTCTTAATGGATGGGTTACAACTATAGAAAGTTTCGAAAGGTTGTCTAAACTGTTGTTCCAAAAATATGAGATACAATATTTTTATCCTAGAATTGTAAATCAGGTTCCTCTCGAGAATTTTTCTGGTAGGATCAGAGCCATCAACTACAGGAACGTCAATCCTGATGCAATTACTTTTATGAATGCATTTAAATCACTGCTAATGTCAAATGTTATGGGTCCACATTCAATATATGCAAACTGTGAAGAAGATAAAAGAGATACAATAATAGATTTATTGCAACTCATATCCTCATCCAATGTTGATGAGAGTTCCTCATCAATATTTGATGAAGATAAAGAAAATGCTATATGTAGTGGACCCATAACAAAGACCAAAAACATTAGCGGTTGCGATCGGTCACTAAATCCAGTGAATGAAAGATTGCGCGTGCACTCTTCTGCCTATACAGCAGGGTACATATGCAGGAGAGTGACAAAAAAATTTAATTGTAGGAGATGCTCTGAGACTTATACCCAAACAAATAAAGATGTATTTCATAAATGGATTGAACAACGGGAATACACCCTTTTAAAATATAACAATTTAACTTATCCATCAAAGAAGTTTTTAATGTTATATAGGGATATCTCGGGCCTTATACATGATTAAAAAAATTATATATATCTGCTATATATATATCTAAATAAATATGCTTACAAAAAATGTATAAAAAACTTTTAAAAATTGAAATAATAAATGAATTGGATGTAAATTGGTTGGGGTGTACACATCATAAAACTGAATTAAAGGAATGGTTGCTTAATTTAATGATACGCAACCATGTCCATAATTGGTGCAACATAATAAATAAAATTTTAAAAGGTGTACAAGAAAGACTTGTGAGACAGATGTGTACACCTCAACAAATTGCCTTTGATAAATTTAGAACCCATAGGTTAAGAGGAAAAAATTATAAAAAGTAAAATATCTAAAATCGTTTTATTTTTACATCCTTTTGTTATATTCATATCCTATGAACATGAAAAAATAAACCTTGCGAATATTACTAACCCTATAAAAAATTTATGGCACATCACTATACTATCGATATTCTTTGCTGTATCGTCGTCGACACTTCAATAGTATGTTGTGGGTCACCACTAGGTGACATTAGGACATAAGCGCTATTGCGCACATTTTTGGAACTAATCGTCAACCAGAGTACTGTCCTATCCGTAGACAGATAACTGTCTACGGTCCTATCTGTCGTAGACTAGTACATAGTGATCTGTGATAAATTATTATTTATATAATTGAGAGTAGCTTGCTACATATTTATCACAGAACACATTTACCCTGACGGGATATTTATTTATCTATGATTGTGAGTGAGGCGTATTGATGTACACATTGTACATTTAGTTTAATTCGTAATGTGGCGCCCGACTTTCACAATTTTAAGAAAAGTGGTTTTACCTTCATTGAAGGACAATATCAGGCTCTCGAAGATATTTTACACCACTAAAAGCCGGCTGCCAAGGTCTACAGCAAAGATAACCCTAGTCAGTGCCGGTGTTGGCGTCCTTATTGGGGCTGGTTATGGAGGTTATACACATTATAAAATAAACTCTAAGAAAAATGTAACGCTCACCGAAACTGAAGAATACGCTTTTTTTAAGGAAGCCCCAAAATATCAGGCGCACTATAAAGTAATTATTATTTTTTGTATTAAGTATTTTAATGCTGGCAGAACTAAGAAAAATATTTGATGCGATTGTAATTTAACCATTGATTAGCAAAAGCCTAAAATTGGCTCTATATAATTGATGACTTGTTGGGTCTTGAAATAAGCAGCGAAGTAAAATTCATTGAATTGGTTCAGTGACTCGACTCAACAAACAACGTTAGTTGGTACAGTCTTTACAGTAGACATGCTTGTTGCACCATGATTGAAGTCAGCTGTGTTGCCTCTTTGATTGTAGCATATATGCTAACTACATTTAATAATTTGCATATGACCGTAAAGTATAATTTACTTATTCTGTACAACAACTTTATATATATATATATATATATATATATATATATATATATATATATATATATATATACTATCTATATTGATCAGCCTTTGTCTACACATGTGACTTGTGCATTTTTTCCTGTTTGGCAAGACTTGTACATTTTTTTAAATCTTTTTAAGCTGTTACATTTTTATAAAGTGTTCACAAAATGCAATGCTGTGTTTATAAATGTCATCACAACTCTAACAGCTCTGTAATTGTGTTACTGTTACTTTTATAGAATAATATGAAAAGCTAGATTGTGGAAACAATATAATAGTGATTCGAACTATTACATTAAGTTATGAAATATTACATTTTACAGGTTATCTAACTCATCATCATCACAGTCCACTGCTGAATATTGACCCTAGCCTACATTGTTTCTTGTGAGACATAACATAGGCATAAGTCTACAGAGCAAATCCAAGAAATAGAGCAAAAAACCCTTAAATGTGGTGATATGTTTTGCACTTAAAATTTTTAATATTTCACTCTAATACAATGTCTAATCTATACTCTATATACTTACTTAATATGATAAAGCAGAAAAGATTCTTTGTTGTTTTAAACATACAATTCTCTGGAACTGCCAGTACAAATTGAAGAAATCCGTTTGTATATGATAGCCAAATTCATGAGGGATAGTATATCATTATTATCATTATCATAGGCTATCTATCATTAGGCTTCACCACTCAACTAGCCTTTATATAGATTTTTGTTAAACAAGTCATAAGAAATAGCACTTCTCAACTGCTTTATCAACTGTAATGGTTAGTGAAAAATGTAATTTTCTACAAAAATAAGCAGCTTAGATGCATGATATACTTGGGGGAAACTGCAGGGTACAGCTAGTTAGGAATATAATAAATAATAATATTTTACCACATAACTGTTAGTGAAAAGTGAATATTTTTAAATGTTATGAAAAAAATTCTTTGCATATTGTATAAGCACATAGAGCCAATGATCTTATTTTGATTTGTTCATTCTGTAATCTGAAGCAAAAGCGAATGAAGTTGACTTATGCCCATCATCAATAAAAATAAGGGAATATTTGAGTGTAGTATTTTGTGGTTTTGTGCTATTCATATTTGTGCCCTATATTTTATCTACTTTTTATATGCAGCTCTTTATTATGCTGTTACTAGATGATAATTGCTGGCTTCGCTGTGCAAATGATAATAGACGATAATAATGTAGATAGGTAGGTCATATATATATATTAGTAAAATGTATATATAATGTTTGCCACACATACATAGAATTCTCACCACTCCATGGGTTGACTGGTAGAGAATGTCTCAAGGCATTAAGTCCACCCTTTGTATTCTTTTGTTATAAGAAATACAATATAGAATAAAAAAATTAATTGATCAAGATTTTTTTATGCCACTATGGTAAAATGCGTTCTTTAGTTAGTGAACAAAGCAAGTCTATATAACAATTTCAAGTCAATTCGGTGCATAGTTTTAGAGATACAATGATGAGCCAGTCAGTCAGTCATTGGTATTACACTTATAATTATATAGATTACTGGTAAGCTGAATTACCAATGCAATGCGAAAATACATTGCAGTATGAGAATTAAAAGAAATTATGCCCTAGCATTGGAAAAGAATAATTTTGATTTTTATTGACCTTTGTTTTCTATATTTTTGTAATATTTCTTTTTTTTATAAAAATTATAATAATGAACTGAACTAAAATAATAATTAAAATTATAATATTTACGATTACATCTAATTATATACAATATAAAAGAAGAAAATATAATATAGAAAATCTAAAACTAAAAATTTTAATGGTCAAAAAGACCTGCTCCCCGTGGTGTAGTGCCAAGAACGCTGGCTGCGTTTCTTCGCTGAATAGCTATACTTAGCCTTTGAGCGAGGAAAGAACCAGCCTTCTTATCACCAGCAGCGACGACCAGTCGTGGATACAGTTCCTTTAGAAATTTCACTGAACGCGGACCTCACCGACCGATAGTCTCTACAGCAAATGGCATAAATATGTAGTCATTTCTCAAAGACTCATATTTGCGCCATTTACTAAATTCGGCTGTCTCTGATGCCGCCCCGGCTCTAAAAGAGGTACCCTTGAGATGAGAGGCCGCCAAAGTGTCAACGCAAGTAGCATCCCAAACTAGGGCTTTACCTCTCTCCCAAGGGACCAAAGTCATACTGTCAGGTCTCCTGCCCTCGTCTCTAAATATCCCGCAAGGCTCTAAAACCGATGGGACATTTATGGAGACAAGAGCCCTTGGGACGATTTCGTTCAAAGAACCGTGACGGGAAAACCTACCTGCACTTTTCTTGCATGAAAGTCCGTGGAGCCCAAACTCATTGACGCTGCTACCACAGGGGCACTTGTGAGGTTGACAAATTGCCACTTCTAGCTGGATTCCTACGGCGATGCGCAAGCTTTCCCCATTAAGCAATGTGCCGAGATTACTTGATGGTAGAGCATGTAACCAGTGGCTAGATTATGATTTCTTATATTTACGCGAACACTACACATTGAAATAATACTAGTTTTTACGGAATTTATCGCGTATATTTTAACTTTTTAAATACCCGACGTTTCGAACGCTTTACAGCACTCATGGTCATGGGCAGGACTGAGATGTTCAACGTCCATATGTCATAGTTAACCGCGGTTACCATAGATTAAAATTTAACTTTTGTTCCGATCTATGCAGTATGAACTTATGGTATCTTGAAGTCTTGCAGTTGTATGCTTGGGTTGGGATTTAATTTTATTTATTATAGGATCCCAAGCAGATGGTAGCACCCAGCCATCTTCTCTATTGAAATTAGGATGTTTTTTGATTTCAATAGCCTCGCGAATCATCCTTGGAAGGAATCGGTGTTCTTTAGCGAGGATCTGCGGTCTATCAAATCTGATGTAGTGACGGGGGCGATCCTGTACGTGTTCACAGACTGCATACTTCCCGGAGCGTCGATTCTTCACATCAGCTATATGTTCTTTAATGCGGGTTTTTATTGATCTTTTAGTTTGTCCTATGTAGGAGAGACCACATTCACAATCAAGCTTGTACACTCCTGCATCTTGCAGAGGGACTTTACGCTTGACCGATGGTAAAAACTGACCAATCTTCTTCAGCGGCTTGAAGTATGTTTTGATGGAAGTGTGCTTCAAGATGTAGCCAATCTTGTCAGTGACTCCTCTAACATATGGCAGTACAGCAGGTACACGCTCGACTGTGGCCGGCTTCACTCGTTCTCTGTGACGTAGGCGCGGGACTCGAAGCTTGTTGTCATGCAAAACTTGCTTGACATGGTGGAGCTCTGCAGCCAGGTGTTTACGGTCACAGATCCCTCGTGCTCTCTGAAACAAAGATTTACCCACGGTAGCTAACTGTGAAGGATGGTGGTGAGAATCACCGTTTAAATATCTATCTGTATGGGTTTTTTTTTTCTTTTTTCTATACACAGTATGGCTCAAGGTGTTATATGTTATATGGCCATACTGTGTATAGAAAAAAGACCCATACAGATAGATATTTAAACGGTGATTCTCACCACCATCCTTCACAGTTAGCTACCGTGGGTAAATCTTTGTTTCAGAGAGCACGAGGGATCTGTGACAGTAAACACCTGGCTGCAGAGCTCTACCATGTCAAGCAAGTTTTGCATGACAACAAGCTTCGAGTCCCGCGCCTACGTCACAGAGAACGAGTGAAGCCGGCCACAGTCGAGCGTGTACCTGCTGACGCCAATTTAGAGTCACTGAGATTGTACATCTTAGTTCCATCAAAACATACTTCAGCTGAAGAAGATTGGTCAGTTTTTACCATCTCAGTGTAAAGTCCCTCTGCAAGATGCAGGAGTGTACAAGCTTGATTGTGAATGTGGTCTCTCCTACATAGGACAAACTAAAAGATCAATAAAAACCCGCATTAAAGAACATATAGCTGATGTGAAGAATCGACGCTCCGGGAAGTCTGCAGTCTGTGAACACGTACAGGATCGCCCCCGTCACTACATCAGATTTGATAGACCGCAGATCCTCGCTAAAGAACACCGATTCCTTCCAAGGATGATTCGCGAGGCTATTGAAATCAAAAAACATCCTAATTTCAATAGAGAAGATGGCTGGGTGCTACCATCTGCTTGGGATCCTATAATAAATAAAATTAAATCCCAACCCAAGCATACAGCTGCAAGACTTCAAGATACCATAAGTTCATACTGCATAGATCGGAACAAAAGTTAAATTTTAATCTATGGTAACCGCGGTTAACTATGACATATAGACGTTGAACATCTCAGTCCTGCCCGAGACCATGAGTGCTGTAAAGCGTTCGAAACGTCGGGTATTTAAAAAGTTAAAATATACGCGATAAATTCCGTAAAAACTAGTATTATTTCAGTGGCTAGATTCCTTAGTCGAAACAGCTAGAAGGCGAGCCTGATCTTGTTGACTGTAGAAATTTTGAAATAAATTTTTCTGGACAATCCGTACCAACAGAATATCCCACTGTTTTTGTTGGTTAAGTTCCAGTGGGACATTTTCGCCGGGACAGAGCGTTAGCCATGTTTGCCTTGCCTCCGCAGCAAAGCACAGGTCTACTGTATTATTTAAAATTGTGTTACATAGATCATTGACACTATGCACGGAAGCAAGGAAAGCAGGCAATGCGATGCTAGAAATATTTCTTACACCAATACCACCAAAGTTGATAGGTAAAGAGGCTTGATTCCAGGCTATTGTATTTAATGTCAAATTTTGAATTTTTTTAAAGCAATTTTAAGATTACTATCAATATCTTTTAAAATATCCGAACATTTCCAGACTGGACTTGAGCGTAACAAGTATATTTTTTATATTTAAAAATACATTTTCAAAGATTTCTTTAAGTTGTAATATTTTATTTGTTAATATTGATTGTTCAGATTATGAATGATCGTATATTATTATGTATATTTGTACAATTGATGGAAGCATCTCCATCCAAAAATGCTGGAGACAAATCTTTGAGACTTACCAAGTCTTAAAATTTGTGCTAATAATACTATACCCCATTACCATGAGTAACGGGATTATCATTTCAATTATATTGGCTTTGTGGTCACTAACCCGTTTCCCTGCCCAGTGTAGGCAAGTAGAGTATAGGCAAACTTTTCAAGAAATGCTGGCTGGAAAACATAAAATGTCCAGCAGTATCCATTGCTGTTGAGAAAATGCTGGTGTGTTATGTGATGTGATACAATATTTGATAAGAAATGTGATATAATGATTTTTGTTATATTGATGTCAAAGCTTACTTTTTATAATTTTCAGATAGTAAATGAATCTGATACAACTAATTTGAAATTAGTTTTATTCCAATATCAAACATGTCCATTCTGTTGTAAAGTACGGGCATATCTTGATGCAAAAGGCATCAGCTATGAAATTGTTGAAGTAGATGCAGTCCTTCGACAGGCTATAAAATGGTCTGATTATAAGAAAGTACCTATATTGCTTGCAAAAGTTGATGGAGGCTACCAGGTATATATACTTTTTTTAATAAAACGACTTCTAGCAATGCTATTTTCATTAGTACTCCCAGTAACCAGTAAGCTAAAATGTTTGTGAAAGAAATGATAGTGAAAAAGTGTTTAACACATATGGGCTGGCTCAAACCGGGGTGGTACCACAAACTCTTAGCGGAGTTAAATATAACATTACCCCGAGGGTACTAACACTCCTGGTGACAGAACATCCACACCCAAACTACCATACTCTTCCTGAGTATGAGTGCTCAGGCTGCCTCTCGTATTCTGGGGGAGGAGGGGCGAAATTCCGCCCGAGACTAAACCTGCTCGGGGCAAACGGAGCAAAAAGTCAAAGGAGCTCCCTGCCGCGTTATCTGTGAATTTCTGCAACATCAGGGGACTTCATTTAAATGTCAATACTGTTCACTACTATCTGGAAACAGCGAGGCGGGGCCTTGCTCTTTCTAACTGAGACACAGGTGTCATCTCCAGCTGATACTTTCTATCTCTCCTACCCGGGGGAACAAATTAGAATACTCCTTTGGGCCCCGGGCTGGAGTTTTGTACGTCAGAGAGGACATCTGTTTTCGACGCCTCAGCAGCCTTAAAGTTACGGACCTGTCCATCTTATGGCTGCGCGTATACAGCGACGCCCATCCCCGCGTCTACGGGTGCCTCTATAGGTCTCATAGCGGTCGCCATCACGTACAGATGGCTGCAGACTCTGTCCTACAACAGGTCTCATCCTTAGAGATCGTGATACTTGGTGATTTTAACGCCCGCCACGCTGAATGGCGAATTCTCGTTTAACCGATGATGCAGGTAGATTTGTTTATGACTTTGCTTTAATGGCGACTGAGGAAAATTAATTGGTTTAAGTAGTAATATGGCATGTAATTTGACTAATGTAGTGTTTTCTGGGAAATTTGATCCCAGAACTGACAATTGCAGTGAATATAAAGAAAGTTTATTGTGTGCTCTGGAAGCGCTGGATGTAATTTGTGATAATGTAGACAAAGCCCGCGCCCTTTTCCTTTCACAATGCGGAAAGGAAACATATTCATTAATTGTTTCATTATTGGTGCCTAGAAGGCTTACTTCTGTAACATTTAAATACATTTTGGCAGTTCTTGACCAACTCTATGAACCTCTCTCTCTATGAATTTTGTAAACTGATAAATTTCATAAACGTCAACAAAATCATAATGAAAGTATTCAGGACTTTATTGCGGCCAATGGCTTTCTGGCTTCCAGGTGTAATTTTATGGACTTAAAAAGACAGCTACGGGACCGATTAGTGTTAGGTGTGTGTGAAGAGCGTCTCTGTCGCGACGAAAAATCTTACTTATGAGTTAGCAGTGCAGTTGAGCCTTAACTATCAAGGCACATTCTTGCAGCATGCCTCAATGCATGCTGCAAGGACAATCATGGCTGAAGATACATACTATAAGCTGTGGTCTGTTCCCCCACCCTTAGAGGCGACAGGCGTGAAGTTGGTTACGTGGACCTGTCATGAACTGAAGGTGTAAGGTCGAGCTCATGTTCAAGTGTCATTGGGAAACAGGGAAGCACAATGTGAGCTACAGGTTGTTTCTGGTCGTGGGCCTAGCCTTTTAGGAAGACACATGATGAGAAGGTTGATGAATTATTAAAATCTTTTCCGGAGTTATTCTTGGACTTTGAGAGTGCAAGGGTCCTCAAGTGTCGTTAAATGTGCGTGCTGATGCCTTGCTACGGTTTTTGAAGGCACGCCCGGTACCATTTCCTCTGATAAAACAAGTTGAAGAACAATTAAGATGCATGGTGAATGAAGGTATATTAACCCCTGTAAAATAATCGAAATGGGTAACTCCATTAAAAATTGTAAAAAAGGATGATGGCTCACTTCGAATATGTGGTGACTACAGGTCAACTGTTAATCTAGCCATAGAGACTGATACACTTCCATTACCAGCTGCTAATGAGTCATTTGTTAAATTAAGTGGTGGAAGAATTTTCATTAAGATTTACTTAAAACAGGCTTACATGCGATGAAAGTGGACGAGGACACAGCTATGTTGTTAACACTGAATATTCCATTAGGGTTACTGAGGATGAACCGGATAGCATTTGGAGTAAAAGCAGCTCCTGGAATCTTCCAGCGTGTGATGTCGACTGCACTCACAGGTATTGAAGGAGTAGCATGTCTATTGGATGATGTTGCTGTTAGTGGAAAGAATAAGGAGGAGCATGATCAAAAACTAAGGGTGGTTATGACCAAACTAAATGCAATGGCATTTCGGTTAAATTTGAACAAATGTGTGTTTGCATCAGATCATATAAGTTTTTTAGGACATATGATTGATGCAGAGGGATTGCACCCATCACCTATTAAAGTGAAAGAGATAAAGGAGAAACCAACACCTATGAACAAAGAAGAGTTACGGGCATTTTAGGTTTATACAATTATTATGAAAAATTCATTATGAACATAGCTACGATACTGGAGCCATTGTATCGATTACTGGAAGCAAAGAAACCTTGGGTATGGTGTTTGCTGGAGCAGGTTGCATTTGATAAAGCTAAGGATTTGTTGTCATCGGATTTAACCTTAGTTGGATATGACTTAAAAAGAGAGTTACTGTTAGTCTGTGATGCATCGGAATATGGTATAGGTGCAATAATTGCCCATGTAATGGAGAATGGGTCAGAACGAGCAGTGATGATGGCATCCAGAACGTTACAACCCCATGAGCGACGGTATGGACAAATTGATAAAGACGCTTTAGCCATAATTTTCGGGATTACAAAATTTCATGAATTTTTACTAGGAAGGAAGTTTTGTATCATTACAGATCATATACCGTTAATCGGATTATTTGATCCGAATAAACCTATTCCAGATCAGATTTCACCTAGAATGTTGCGATGATCTCTGAAATTGGTGTGTTATGAATATGACATAAAATACAGACCCGGAAATTGCATTGGTAATGCAGATGCTCTCAGCCGTTGAACTTTTGTTAACGCAGCTGAAGTGCTAGGGATGCATTCGTTAGCGGATGTGCTACTTTTGGAGGAACCTCCCTCTGGATTCAACATGGATGCAGTGAAAATTGCTTGTGAGACTAAAAAAGACCCAGTACTACAAAAGGTTTTATTTCATGTGCTACATGGATGGATTTACTCTGATCCCATACTCCAGCCGTAATGGACGCGAAGAGAGGCTCTTTCACATAGTAAAGAGTGTTTATTGTGGTGTAACAGAGTCATTATACCCGCTTCTTTACAACAGCAGGTATTAAAGGTATTGCATGTACTGCATGCTGGAATTGTTCAAAGGAAAGCATATGCTGGAGGATACGTATGGTAGTCGGTATGGACGGTCAGATAGAGGTCACAGTGACTGGCTGTGAGTTGTGTCAGGCCATGAGAAACATTCCACCGAGAGATCCGCATATGTGGATTTTACCTGACAAGCCATGGAGTTGTGTCCATGTTGATTTTGCAGAAACATTTTAAGGGAAGACATTTTTTGTTATGATTGACGGCTATAGCAAATGGTTTGAGGCAGATATTTTATCAAATATGAGTAGTGGAGCTCTAATAGCAAGTTGTCGCAGGATTTTTGCTTCGCAGGGATTGCCAGAAAAATTGATTTCGGACATTGGTACTATAACATCGGTGTTATAATCTCTCAGTATGGTGCCGAATCACAGTTTACTCAGAATGCTAAGGAAGCTGATACCACTGTAGCTTTTATGGTCCTTTTGTGACCCTTTTCGCCTATATATTGGGACTATAATCGCTTTACACCAGTCTTTCGGTAGCCCACTTCTGTTCCCAACATAAATTATACAAGTTGTACAGATGTGCTACCACTCTCTCTCTCTAGCCCTTAGCATCTCGAGTGATACTCTTATATACGGCTGCTTTTCATTGCTTTCATTACTTCATTTACAATTATCTCTCTACTTTTACTACACTTTACTTTTCACTTCATTCTTCTTATTTGATTATTGTTATGTAAAATTGTGTCCGATTTGTTGACACGAGTTTTTAATGAGACACAGTAGAAGCATAAGAGGAACAAACCTATGAGTAAAACTAATCTCTGTCCTTTTATTTATTTTTGCTTTTAATAAAGGGTAAGATTACCAAGAGGTATTTTTTTGTCTGCACAAAAATAAGTCAAACTACTAATGAAATGTATGCAGTTGATTACTTTCAATAGTGCAACTCAATTATTATTTATTATCGTAACACACAATCAGTTGATAATACTGACACAAAAAAGTTTAAACAAAGTTTATTGTATTTTCTTTCAGCAACTATTTGACAGTACGGCAATAATATCTATGCTGGAGACCTTTTTACGAGATAAAACCTTGCAGTTACATGACATAATAAAATTTTATCCTGTTACAAAATATATAAATGAAGATGGCAAAAACACAACAGACATTACAAATAAATACTTTATTATGCATAATTCTACCATTGTCAATGAGAAAGAAAAAAATGCTGAGAAGTAAGTAAAAAGGATTTCATAAATAGGTGTACATTATGTATTTTTAATAGACTATAAATGCCTAAAATTTTTAACTGGTTCTAGAACATTTAGTATGCCTGTATATTATTTATAGTCAACCAAATCTAAGAAATACATTTTGACAGCTGTCAGACTTGTTGCACCAGGCATGCCATCCAAAAAATGGGAATGTACAATATTCGATTCTTAAAAAAATCGATATCGATTATTTAGAGTTGGTAATCATTTAGTTTGGTTTAAATAATACCAGAATAAATTAAAAACGGATAATTTAGGACACAAGATTTATAAGTTTCTTCGTATTTGTTGTTACTGCTTATTTCTAGAGGCACAGTTATAAAAATTTAAGATTATAACTAAATTAAAAATAAATTTATACAATCATGTTCAGTACAACTAGTTGAGATTTTTTCAATAATGCAGTCAAAATTAATGTTTTTTTAAAAGTCATCCATAATAATGTTTTTTGTTTTTTCTACCACTTTTGCCCAATGATCCTTTGTGAAATGGGCATATGCTTCAACGAATATTGAAGAAATAGTCCAAAAAGTTAAAGCCGAGTCACAAAATAAGAGGACAAACAAAAAATCACAAAATTACGCACAGTAAGCTTCCGAAATGGCGGGATATTGAAATTACGTAGTGGTTTTAATATTGCGGCCTTGTATATAAGTTTTTTTGCCTACACAAATTTGTGTCGAAAATTGTTTTATTCATGATCCATGTAATTTAAGGAATTTTAAAAATAAAAATTAATTTAAACAAATAATACATTAAAAATTAATTATTCAGTTATTTGAATATTTTTACCGATTATTGGAATATTTTTGCCGATTATTCGCATAACAATTAATTTTAATCATCCAAATATTACGGTAATGTACATAGCGACATATCATTGAAACGGCGTCAAGTACAAAAAGTAGATACTGGCTATTTTTTAATATTTTGCTTTGTTTAAAAGATTCAAATTTAAATTAGTGATAGAAAACTATACATTTTGTAATGAAATATAGATAACTTTATATTTCTTAGGATTTATGTAAATGGTTATTTTAAATCTTGTGAGTATGCTTGTGCAAAGTTATTGCGGAATCATTAATGTGAAACGTCAAAAGGTATTTCTTAGATTTGGTTGACTATAATGTCCTCCAGACCGAATTTCGGCCTCGGCGGCCAGCCTCAACGGAGGCTAGCCAACGCTGCAGGACAGGATTATAGTGCCCAAGTGTATGCGCAAAGACAGGTGCACTCTCTAGTCCCTCACTCTCATAATCCGATGGGACGGTAAACCGACACGACCGGAGAGAGATCAGGCGCAGGACCAACGGCTTTACGTGCTTTCCGAGACACTGAGAATTTCTTGACAGAAAAACTCAATAATTGATTTTTTGGCCCGACCCGGGATTTGAACCTAGGACCTCATGATCAGCAGTCGCTCTACTACAACCGCTGGACCAACGAGGCAGTGGTTGACTATAGTATAGTGGTAAAGTATTAAGTATCACGCCAAAGTGAATAGGTCTCTCCAGCAATGTGCTGTTTACTTGTTTTAAAATTAGTTTCAAACAGCCCTCACGTTATGTCAATAAAGATTTATAACCATTTACCGAATTCCATAAAAATCCTGGAAAATCCTGTGCAATTTAATAAACAATTAAAAATATTTCTTATTAATAAATGTTACTATAATTTAAATGAATTTTTTGACGATAAATAACGATAAAGTAAGAATACTTAGACTATACATTGTGTTTCAAATTAAATTAAATTAATTAATTAAAAATTAAAATTAAAAAAATAATTTGTAATTTATGTTTAAAAATTAGATAATACGAAAATAGTTAGCCCTCTAGTGTTGCTATGCCCTTGCGGGGCGTCACATGTATACCTATCAAAATTGTACTATCTTAAATTTGTAATGTGACATGCAATAAACAATTTGAATTTGAATTTATGTTTATGATCATAATTACATTGATAGAAGGATGGATGGATGATGGACGTTCCGCGTTTTATTGTAGTCTTTGGTTCCACATTTGTTTACAAACGTTAGTAAAGTCGAAAATCGTTGATAGTTGTAAGAAACTGCAACCATTTCACTCGACAAAAACGCAATTCTATTTCATGTTGGACAAGTTTCGTCCTCTAAGCCAGTTGCAACGACAACCGTTTTCTGCAACCGTTTTCGTCGTCGGGGAAACGGTTGGGTATCGTTCGTCAAAAATTCGACAACGACCCACCGCTAGTTGAGCTTGAATTTGAATTTATGTTTATGATCATAATTACATTGATAGAAAGATGGTGATGGATGTGAAAGCTGTCACTTCACATCCATCACCATCTTTGAACTTCATATTATAAAAGATTCGCTTCAAGAGAAGCTTACCAAAATCCACTGCTGAATGTAGGCCTCCATAGATTGCCTCACAGGACGATATTTCCCATAGCTTTTATTTTAGTCGTTATTTTGAAGATGATCATTTAAGTATCAAATACAGTTCCTACTCTTGAATGCTTCGTTTTTTTTTAATAAACTAAAGACAGAAACAAACTTACAGTCTTTCTGATTGTAAGTGCTCACTGCAGTCCGTGGACACTAACCAAATCAAGCAAAGATCGAAGGTGTGATATCAGTTATCACCTCTGTGGACTAAAATGTAATGCTTCACACATCCAAATTTTTTATAGAATAAGGGTGCCATGCTGCAGTTAAATTAGAAGTATAGTTTTAGCACGAATGGGTCGGCTCGACGGGGGAAGGACCATGCTCTCACAGAATACCAGCGTCAAATAGTAGCTTAAAGCTGCTTCGTATGGTGAGTGTTGAGAACCGGATATCCTTTTTACTACAAACGCGGCATTCCATCCTAGTCCTCACAGATGACAACGCATCTGCATTTTGATTCGTAATTGAGGATAGATATAGATATCTATGGGCCAAAGCATCCTCATATCATCAGGTAGACTGTGTGTTCGTTTGTCACCCTATCATAAAAAAAAATACAATCCACTTGATGGTGTAACACACCCCCATCTGTATCGAAAAGAGAATGTCTTTTAAAATATAACAATATTAAATATATAAATAGTTACATGATCAGGCTAATAAATATTTATCTTTCATAAGGATCTTTTTATTGTTTTCTACTAAATATGGGTCAATTTAATAATATACAGTGTGATCGTCTTAGTTAGGACCCTTATTTATGTTTGTATGTGTATGTATCTCTATATCCCTTGCCCGAAACACAGCAATAAAATACTATTTAGCGGCAGTAATAGCTGAGAATGTGGTATGTACCTAGATAGAGTACTAGGCAAGGAAAGAGTCAAACTAAATTAAGTTACTAGTAAAAACGTGCTCCAAAAGCAGGCAAATACAATAATAAGTTAAACTTGCAAAACTTGTTTATTGGAAACGAGGTATTGCATCTTAGTCCTCAGGATGACAACGCATCTGCATTGTGATTCTTAATCGAGGATAAATGTACATGTCTATGGGCCTAATGGTAAGTGGATGCTGTGGCACATAGACATCTACAATTATCCTCAATTGAGAATCAAAATTTAGATGCGTTGTTAACTACTAAGATAAAATGCCTTGTTTCCATGGTCCCGAGAGCTTGAGTGGTGCAAGGCTCAGATGGTTTACGTGGTAGTGCCGTGCTGCAGTTACATAAGTAGTATAGTTGTAACACGAATGGGTCGGCTCGACCGGGAAAGGACCACGCTCTCACAGAATACCAGCGTCAAATAGTAGCTTAATGCTGCTGTGTTTCGTATGATGAGTGTAGAGAACCTGAGATCCTTTTTCCTTTTTCCTCGAAACGAGGCATTCCACCTAAGTCCTCACGGATGATAACGCATCTGCATTTTAATTCGTAATCGAGGATAGATGTAGATGTCTATGGGCCACAGCAACTACTTACCATCAGGTGGACTATGTGCTCGTTTGTCATCCTATCCAAAAAAAATGAATCAGTAAGTTAAGCTGGTGTAAAGTTATTGACATAAGTAATTCTATACTTCGCAGTGAGGAGCGTGAATGGCGACAGTGGGCGGATCGAGTTTTAGTTCATACCCTGTCACCCAATGTGTACCGAACTGCTGGTGAAGCTCTGGAAACTTTTAAGTGGTTTGAGGAAGTAGGCGCTTGGAGGCAGTCCTTCCCAAGCTGGGAGTGTATCTTGATGGTATATGGAGGCGCCGCTGCTATGTGGATTATAGCCAAAAGACTTAAGGCCAGGTAAATTAAATGATTAATATTTCAACAAAAGATCAAATTCTTACGCTATGTAGCGATAATGCCGCCAAATTGTACATTTAATCTGCTTTTTGTTTTGTTATCTGTATAATTGTTTGTGGTTTACAATAAAAGTGTATTCATTCATTCATTAATTAAATTTTTACCGGCACAAACAGGCAGACAAAATGGTTATTCGTATCTAAATAGCATGCGAATATCCCCCTAGGCTAAGGAAAAGGCAATTCTTTAGACATTGCAGACGGCTTAAAAGTTTCCTATAATAATTCTTATTTTTATCGTTTATTTGTAGGCATCATATAAAGGATGATGTCAGACAATCATTGTATGATGCGGCTTACACCTGGATGGATGCTGTGAAAAAGAAAGGTACACGTTTCTTCGGCGGGGAACAGCCTAATCTAGCTGATATTACTGTATATGGTGTATTGAGCAGTATCGAGGGTTGCCAAGCTTTCAAGGACCTCAGAAATAACACTAATATTGGATTATGGTACGACGAGATGAGGAAAAACATGGAAAGTAAGAGAGGTAGAGTCCTGGCCATTAATGCTTAAGGCCTAAAAAGTCTGCAATACTTTTTAGAACAAATTCGATACCTAGATATGTTATCGAATTTGTTCTAAATGGATACAAAAGGATACAGGTTTATGGTATTAAAGAAAGCTGTGGCTTTCTAAGATTATAATCCTCGTTTTGTTTGAGATATTTTAATAAAGATGTTGAGAGCGGAAAATAAACAGTTTGAAAAATTTAAATCATGCCGAAATTTTTTTCTTCGGTTACTCTCATTCAAAGAAACATTTTAGAATATTTTTTCCTAATTGTTGTAAATTCCAAAAGAAAGTCATAACTTTGACGACCATTTTGTATAATTATACTCAAAATGCTATTTAAGTAGTGAACGCAAATAGGACATGGAAGTATTACTTTAAGGGTGTAAAAAAGGCTTGTGCTATGTGCACAAGACTTTTTTGATTGAGCATTGAGAGACTCCATCGCTGTTTAGCTAACAGTTTATTACACGTATTTAATTACGGCTCGGGACGCACAGTTAGAAGTAGACCTTATTGTTTGGTAGTTTTTTCGGTTTCAAAGTCACTTACGTTTGCTTTACGACATTGTGCTCATCACTCGTCGCCCCGGGCATTTTATGTAATAAGTGCATTTCAAATTATAATAAGATCAGTATTATGATAGTGAGATGTCAATTGGAAAATTGAGATTTTTCAGTACTTTTTTTTCTGCTTCCGCTGCTCGTTATTTCGCTATTGCTTCAGTTAGTTTCGCTAAAAATGGAAAATGGCTCGACTGTTTTAAAATGTTTGTGTGTTTAAGTAGTTGCCTGGATGGTTTAGATTCACAATTAGATTTCAACAAGTTATGATTATACGTGGCCAGATGGATGAAAAAAGAAAAAGAATTTGTATTATTGCTCCATTACTGTATTAATTGTATTGTTGGTGGTTATGATGAGAGATTTATTAATACTAGGAACTTTTAATAATTCACGATTTTTCACTCGCTGGAAACTTTCTAAGATTTGTATATTCTTTTTTATATTTTCGCTTCCAGGAAAAATCGAGGGAACATAAGACGGATGTAACAGATGTTCCGATTTTTCGTTATTGATAAAATGAGAACTACAAATACTTGTATTTTTATTTGGTGCTCAGTGTTTTGGATTTTCTCTGAAACAAAAAAAAATTAAAGGTTAAGTTTTTATTATAAAATATATATCATAATAATAAGAACTTAGTTATCAAAATAATAGTTTTTTACATGCCTCGAGTTTAATCAGAAAATTTATTTTAATATTGTAATCAATTTTAAATTAATATAGGACTTACACATGTTTTTTTTACAGATTTTTTCCAATGTTTACGTTCTACTTTTTACTATTTTTCATGAAGCTCCAAACATGCTCTCCAGGAATTTATAAAATTTCACTGTCACATCAATTCCTCATTTTTGACGTGATGTTTTTCCTTGAAGTTTACATTACTAAAATTATATCAATATATTTTTTTTAAACCTACAATTTACAATACTCTACGAAATACAATTTACGATTATTATTCTAAGATTAAAGCTTGAACTTGAAACAGTAGATTTAAATGTTTTCTATTCGTAACACCGATTAAAGCGTAACTAGAAAAAAAACATACCTTTTTTCATCCAGCACACTTAGAATGTTGATGATTAACATTTCACTCCTTCCTATTAGTTTGAATAAGGTCTAAAACAATTGCCGAGGTTTGATAGTTTTTACCTATGTGTGTATGGAGATAGATGTTTAGATATTCGGGATTCCAAGCTTCTAACATTACACTAACTACTTAACATAAAAAATATGTTAAGTTGGCTGAGATTCGTTTTACGCAGTATCTGATGAAATATTTATCTCGTGTCTTGATGGTAGATTAAGACCAAATTACGGTACATCTATGATAATTAGTAATTACAGTGTACATGGAGACACTGGGTAAGCCACGCCTACCGAAGCTGAACTTGTATTCGATCATTTTATGAAGCTAGGAATGCTTCCATGTTTTATTTGCGTTCACTGCATTGAATTCACGAAATTTTCATCCAAAATCACTTATTGATCAGTACCTACGATTTACTGAATTTATTTATTTTAAATGTTAGTATGTAACATAGTTATTTGCTCTGTAGTTCCAAAAAGTATTTTTAAATTATTGTTACAGTAAAAGGTCAGTAATAATACTCTTGTAATTTTATTTAGTTATTAAAACATTGTTATATTCAAAACTATTATTTCATTTCCTACCACTATTATACATATCTGGTCAAAAAGTAAACTAAACTGTATATCTGACATATGGTACTACGGTCCTACGGTAACAATACAAAATAGTTCACTTTTCAAATAAAGACTACCTTGAACCAAAAAATAAATTTTGCTATTGGACTCTTAAACAACATTAAGAAAACAAATCTAGAAAATGTATATGCACAGTTAGTGTTTATACCACCAAAATACCACTAATGAAACACTCATAAAAAGCCTTTATGACCAGCCACATAGACTCCGAGGTGATTTCAGAAGTGTTTAATAATTTTAAGAATAGAAGCAGCAATTTAATGAGGCATCTAGAGTGGTTTATATATATTAAAAGGTGGACGTATTTAGCTTCTGATACTGAATTATATGTGAAAATTCGACCTTTTTTGGATGATTGAGGTAAGTTTTTAGTATCTGTAACATGCTTTTTAAATCATAACACTAGTATACACTTTATTGGTTATAGTAAGAAATGAGTATTGTTCTTGTGATATCAGAGGTTGTTTGTAATGGGATTTGAGTTGCAACGCTGTTTTTTTTGTAGTAACATTTCATATTTAACAAGCAATTTGTGAATAACTGATTGAAAATCCTCGATTAGCGACGTCAGGCGCGGATGTAGCAGTTGCACCTTCGTCTCCGTTTGTCACGACGTAAAGCACGAAAGGCTTCGCTGCACCTGCAAAAAATTATAATTGAGTCATTGGGTGCGTTTGGCAGAAAAAAGCGCTAGCAAGCGCTTACAAGCGCTGAAATAGTTTTCGGCCAGGACACGATTGCTACTTCAGTAGCGCTGACACAATCCGCCATTTTGCTTATTTAATTTGTTTGTTTTGAAGTAGAGTTTATAAGTTTTTTTGTACAATATTAGTTTTAAGTAATATAATGACATGAATATACATATAGATGTTATTAATAAATTCATGATTGGTAAGTTTTTAATATGAATACTTTACAAACATATATTGAAATTAGGTTTGGTTCCCCGATTAAAACTGACTTCGTGTCCTAGAGGAAAATAGCTACTTACGATTTAACAGCGCTTACCGCTTACGATCGCCATTTTGCTTACAAGCGCTTGCTAGCGCTTTTTTCTGCCAAACGCACCCATTTAAGCGACAGAAACAATCCGTCACTCTTTGGTTTCGTAATATTAAACGAGTCCACTAAATGAAACGCTAGAAATATTTGTGGCGTCCGATCGAAGGCTGTATAATCATTTTTGTAATTTCTCCACCTCCATCCTCCCACTAAAGATTTGCTCCGTTATTTGTAATGCGCATAGTATTGGAGTTGCATCTATCTTTTCATACGTTTACGATGTATGTGGCTTCATGGCAAGAGTGCATAGGCTTTGGTAAAGCTAAATCAGTTTGGCTACACTATCACTTACCATCAGGTGGGATGGTGGACCGGTGAAAATAGTTAAAAATCACAGTTTTCATCTATTACTTATCGTTTTATATTTTAAAGACACTTATCTCCGTAAATCGGTTAAATAGTGAATGGTTAAGTGTCGTTAATAATTCTATAGTTATCTACTTACTTTGAACGGTGACAAATCCGAGACCACAAAAACGATCGCTGCCGACTGAGACACCAGTGGATACGATCGTCGGATTAGGAATAACCACGAAATCAGTAGTACACGTGATACCATTCAATGCGCCTATTGTCGTACCGAGAACAGTGCTGTCGGCTCCCTCCACGTCGCCGGTCACAGTGAACGAATAGGCATCACTTGAGGCCTGCAAATTTTAGTGACAAGGTTAATGATTATTGATTACTGACATATGCTGTGTCGTGTGGCCATTTCATCTCGTAGGTATCGAATAAGAGTGACGAACGAAGTCCTCGATTAAGAATCTAAATGCAGATGTGTTGTCATCCCTGAGGACTAAGATAGAACATCTCGTTTCCAGTAAAAAGGATCTCCGGTTCTTTACACGTACCACATGAACACAGCAGCATTAAGCTGCTATTTTACGATGATATTCAGGTGAGAGCGTGTTCCTTCCCCGGTCGAGCCGTCCCATCCGTGCTACAACCATAACAAAGCTGCAGCGTTGCTCTACCACGTATAAATTCAGTTTTGTATCATTTTATATCATACATTAAGTTTTATCATTTTTACTTAAAACGTGTTGAAGAAGCATAAGCAATGTATAATGTACAATTTAAGACTTACCTGAGCATACTGTATAGCACAGTACCCTGCCTCCATTCGGATACATATACCGTAGTTCAAGTTGGCGATCTGCCGCGTGCCCGTGACAAGGGAGGAACTGAGCGCCGTGTTTGAGGTCGTACCATAATTGAAACTATTTATGGTGCCAGTTACGCCCGTATAGTACTGCAAGCAACCGTTAGGAGCTGAAAAAAATTAGACTTAACTTTTTCTTAAAAATGCTTTCCTTTAATGTTAATATTAATATAATAGTTTTGTGACGCAGTTTCATCGATTGGAAGAATACTCCTTAAAATTTTATTTTGGCACACCTCCCTTGCCGTCATTCCATATCATCAATATTATATAATATACAGAAATATTATATAATTTACAATATTATATAATTTACTGAAACAATTGGAAAACATTGGCATTCGCGGAATTGCTCTAAACTCTTTAAATCATACCCTGAAGATCGATATCAAACTAGTATTTTGGATAATAATAATAGTAATATTACAACTATTGAAACAGTTAAATCAAAACTTAAAAAGTCAACATTGATTGGTGTACCTCAAGGAAGTATACTCGCTCCTTCTTTGTTTTTAATTTATATCAACAAAATATTTAAAATCACCAAGCATTTAACAATAATGTTTGCTGATGATGCTACAGTCTTTTATACTAGTAAGCTAATAAATAATTCAGAACTTGAAAGTGAATTCAATAAGTCTATAAAAGACATAGATAGTGTCGTGGTTAAAGTCTGGTAACCTAACAATTAATACGAGGGTGCGTTTTTAAGTTCGCGGAATAAGTAGGTAGGTAATAAGTGGAGACGTCGCTGAATTACGTCCTAAATGAGCAACTCATTATTAGTATAAATACCGGGTTTTATTGTAATTAGATCATTAGTCTTTGAGTTATCGTCAACCAAACAACTCAAACGGGAAGAAATTGTGAAATATAGAGAAAATCGAGTTCCGTGTCGTTATAAAGTTCCCTACCAAGCGCAGAAAATCAGTTCAGACTATACTGTAAGAGATGTGATTCGTTTACGGAGACTCTTGTCCAAGTAAAACTATAGTTTGCAAGTGGCATACCCTTTTAAACAAGGCAGAGAGTCACTTGAAGACGAACCACGGCCAGGAAGGCAGATCGAGGTGACCACTTCGGAAATTATTCAAAAAGTCGAAAAATTAATGCCCACCTAAAGAAAAAATAGCTCGTTGTAATGGTTGGAGTATCAGATACAACCATTTTCAAAATTCTTCATAACCTTGGCATGACTAAAGTCTGCGGAAGATGGGTGCCTAGAATGCTCACGCCGCCTCAAAAGCAACAGCGCTTGGAGTGTTTTTGTATATTTTTGGACCTCTGTATGGAAGACAAAGATGGAGTGTTGGCTCGAATTGTTACTGGTGACAAAACTTGGGTTCACCATTATGAACCTGAGTCCAAACAGGACTCTATGCAGTGGCACAAAAAAGGCACACCACCACCTAAGAAATTTAAAGTGGCACACTCGGCTAGGAAAATAATGGCAAATGACAGTCTTTTGGGACTCAGAAAAAATCGTATTGATGAATCATAAAGATAAAGGTGTCTCAATAACCGGAAATCACTACGCTTCAATCCTGAAACAATTGAAAGAAGCCATAAAGGACGAAAGGAGGGGAAAATTGACCAAGGGAATCCTTCTGCACGACAACGCGCCTGTTCACAAGTGCCATGTTGCGATGGCTGTCCTGCAGAAGGTAGGCTTTGAAATTTTGCCACACACACCCTATAGTCCTGACCTAGCCCCCAGTGATTATTATCTATTTCCAAACTTAAAAAAAGATCTTCGTGGGAAAAAGTTTGTAAGTGATGTAGAATTGAAGGAAGCCGTTTCGGCGTATTTTTTAGACATAGACAAATATTTTTTTTTCGGGGTATATATAAGTTAATTGAAAGATTCGAAAAATGTATTAGGATAGCAGGTGAATATATTGAAATGGAAAAATGAATTTGGATTTTTATTTCCACTCCTAACCTCCATTCCGCGAACTTTAAAATGTCCCCTCGTATAACTAAAACTGAAAGTCTCCAATATAGAAATTATAAGACTAATCCAATCCATTTATAAATATCATTTGATGGCTCAGCTCAGTCACAGAGGAAGTAGATAATACAAGCTTTCTTGGAGTTAAAATTGACTCTCACCTAAATTGGAAATCACACAGAAAAAATTAACAAGAAAATATCGAGTTATTGCTATGTTCTTTCAATACTTTCGTCGTCAACTTCTGAATCTGTTACTAGAAATGCATAATATGTTTATATTTATCCACTGTTATTGAATGGTATAATTTTTTCGGGGTAATTCAACTTACATAAATGCAACGTTTATACTATAGAAACGATGTTTGCGTAAGACAAGAGAAGAGAAACACTGAGGAATTTATTTAAAGAAAAACGTTTTTTAACTTTAGCTGGAAATCTTGGAAATGAATCTTGAAGTTGTCCCTATTTATTAAAAAGTGATTTATTCAAACAGAAACTTTCAACGCGGCAAAATTTACGACCTTCTATGAAAACGATCTTTATCCACCTAAAATTAAAAATAAATTGTTTAAAAAAAGTGCGTACATAACAGCAATTAAATTATTTAATTATTTACCCAATAGTATTAAAACAATAAAAGGGCCCGAATTTAAACATAACCTAAATGAATTCTATAATTTTAAGTGTTAATACCGTGTTCTTTATTCTTATAAGCATTTTGTCAAATATTTTATCTTATAAGTTAATTGTTAATCTATCATTTGTTAAATGTAAATTGTAAAAATTTAATCTGTTTAATGTAAATTTAAATAGTATATATATATGTTTAAAATGTAAATTGTAAATCTATCGCACGCCTGTAATCTTTAACCGACACAGTAATACATTAAATAAATTATTATTTAATTATTATATATGATAAGAAAAAAAGTTAACTATAAAATAAATATTTTCATTTTATCAATTCATCATTATCATCATTACAGCACTTCATAAGTCCACTGCTGAACATAGGCCTCCCCCAAAAAATGCCACAAAGCACGGTTTCCTGCATGTCGTCACTCCATCTAGTGGGGGGTCGCCCTACACTTAGCCTACCGGTACGAGGCTGCCACTCGAGAACCTTTTTTCCCCATCGGTTGTCGGTTCTTCGAGCTATATGACCGGCCCATTGCCACTTCAGCTTACTAATCCGTTGGGCTATGTCGGTCACTCTGGTTCTACTGCGCATATCCTCAGTAAGTTCTTTACCAATTATCTGAGTACAATAAATTATCTTACTTAAGTATTCGGTATTCGACTGAATATAGGATAAAAGAACCCGAAAAGGCCGAATACTAAATAATCTTGTATTTCGTAAGTTTTTTTTAAAAATAAAATAAGGGTAAGTTAATGCTGTGGACAATGTGCTACGTTTATCCTAGATTGAGAATGAAAATACAGATACGTTGTCATCCCTGAAGAGCGAGATGGAATGCCACGTTTCCAGTAAAAAGAGTCACCGGTTTTCTACAGCCACCGTACGACACATAGCAGCATTAGGCTGCTATTTTACGCCGGTATTCTGTGAGAGCGTGATGCTACCCCGTTCGAGCCGACCCATTCGTGTTACAGCTACAATATAGTTGCAATGTCGCTCTACTACGTACAAATACTGTTTGTTGTAAATAAGCTCAGCTATATAATAAACTTACCTATACCCGGACAATCGCAACCAAGCTGAATGAGCCTGAGGTTCCATCTTCTGGAGAACGTTGTGGCCGAAGTTGCTGTGACTGTAATGGTTATAGCTGTGTTTCCGTTAAAGTCCACGAACAGGGTTTGGCCCGTATTGTCACCACAGATGGTGGGCACTATAGTGTTTCCACCGGTGATGGTAATGGCGTCTGTTGCACACACGCCGTCACCATTTGGCTGTGCTAGCACCATGTCCAAGAAATCTATACGAAGCTGTAAATAAATTTAAAGTAGAAGTTTGATGCCACCGAATTTGATTTCATTTCTTTTACATTTTTGATGATACAGATCTTAAATTATGTTTATTATATATCTTATAAATTAGCATTTAATTTTAATAAAATATTGTCTTCTTTTAGATCTAGGCTGAAATGCAAGTATTTTCCTAAACCGTTATAGTAACTGCCTTCATTGGATAAAGATTTCTCCTCGATTAAGAATCAAAATGCATATTCAGTGTCAACCTCAAAGACTAAGATAGAAAGTTTCGTCAAAAATAATCTTCTGTCTTCGATACCATACGATACGATATATTCGGCGACACTAGACGATATATTCGGCCACTATTCAACGGAAAATCAGCGTAAAATAGTTGTCATATGCTTCTATATTTTACGCTGGTATTCTGTAATAGTATAACTATTTCTATCAAAGATTTATAACACAGTGAATACTGCAATATATATCATACCTGACAGATGTCAGCGTTACAGCGATTGACTATGATACTGCAGCTCTGGCCGCCGGCGTACGCAGCCGGGTATCCGGGGCTTGTGAAGTAAGTGTTGTTAACGTTAGTAGTGGATCCACAGCTCCTTGAAACTAAAAAAATTGTGTACAGCATAATTTTACTATGTGTGCTCAAGGCCTACAATTCATTGTATCATTTCATCATTACAATATTCATTATATGTTCAACTCAGTTCCATTGCACTTTTTTAACCGACTTCGAAAAGGAGGAGGTTTTCATTTCGAGGGAATGTTCTTTTTCTTTTGCATGTATGTGCAAGGGTGGAAAATAATGTACTCCAGACCGAATTTCTGCCACGGCGGCCTGCCTCAACGGAATCTAGCCATCAGCGCAGGACAGGATTATAGTGCCCAAGTGCACTCTCTATTCACTCACTCTCATAATCCGATAGGACGGTAAACCGACATGACCGGAGAGAGATCATAGATCAGGACCAACGGCTTTACGTGATTTCCGAGGCACGGGGGTGAGACACCGCCAACTTCCTGACTCCGGGCAGCTACTGAGAATTTCTCGACAAAAACACTCAATAATTGATTTTTTGTCCAGACCCGGGATTCGAACCCAGGAACTCATGATCAGTAGTCGCACTACTACAACCACTAGACCAACGAGGCAGTCAGGGTGGAAAATAAGGGAAAAGTTTCATATTGGACTGTCGTTTAAGGAATTTCATGTGACATCTTCGCAAATAAAGAACCGATTTTAATGATTCTTTTTTGTAAATATGTTATAGAGGTGCTTCAAGGGTCCCATCTAAATTCGGATAAAAAATTCCATCCCTAAGGGTTGCAAATAAATAACTTCTTTTTGGCAATTTGAAGTCGGTATTTACATTTTGTTAAAAGTTATAATTATTTACATTACGATTTCTAATAAAAATGTAACATTGTGCATATTTGAGTATTTTACATTTAAGGATATTTTACACATATAATTGTCACAAAATTTACTGCCGATATAATCAGTGGTGTAAACGAAAAAACTTGCGTCGTCACCTCTAACTCCTTTACTAGTAAAAGAGTCTCCGGTTCTCTACACTCACCATATGAAACGCAGCGAGGCTCTATCATGTATAGAAACATTTATTATTATTTATTTTTAAAAATGTTACCTCCACACTAGGATTTCCTCATGTATCGTGAGGGTAGTTTACATAAATTTCACAAGGATTAACATCCTGACCCAGATTCCAGATCCAGATTACTTGTAGGCTATACAAATAATTGATCCGTGCGCGATTCGAACCCGTGGCATTAACGCTGTAACTCATTGCTAAGAATAGAACAGAATAGAATATTTTTTTATTCAATATAGATTACATGTGGTAATTCTTATGAAAGTCATTTTTTACCTTACCATTGGTTTTTTTTTATAGGATTGGGTGACAAACGAGCACACAGTCGACCCGATGGTAAGTGGTTGCTGTGGACCATAGACATCCACGATTACGAATCTAAATGCAGATGCGTTGTCGCCCGTGAGGACTAAAATGGAATGCCTCGTTTTCAGTAAAAAGGGTCAAAAAACCTCTGTCCTGGGAAGTCCCAGCAAGAAACCCAGGGGAGCTTTTAAAAAAACTATTTTACAATGTCAATGGTCGCAAAATATTTACAAAATTTATTTTAGAAACAGCTTGGAAACGACCACCTCATTTCCAGGGGCTATTATCAACCACGTATTCATTTATATTATAATAACCTTTTTTATAAAGTTTTTGTTTAATTAAATATTTAAACTTGGTAATAGAGACCTTGTATATTTTCTGTTCAATTATTTCACATTTACCCTGGCTTATATAAATTTACTATCCGTAAATATAAATCCTATTATCTTATAATATTTTCATCTTTGGTCTAGATCTATATAGTTATACAAATAAATAAAATTGAAGTTTCTGTTTGTAATGTCAAAATACGAGACATGCCCTTTAAGTTTTGTCGTTTGACCAAAAAAATACAACTAGAACCTTACAGTACTTTTTATTGTTTTCAAAGTATTCACCACGTAGTTTAATACACTTTTCCATTCAGTCGAATCAGTTATTAAAACATTTATTCTACGCCAAAGTGGGGGTGTTCAATATGGCTGTTTTGAAAGCGTCGACTGCTTCTGCACCAGACTGGGACCTTTGACCACGAAGATTTTTTTTTAATTTTAGGAAATGTAAAGGAATCGTTAGGGCTAAGGTCAAGTTTGTATCCAGGATGATCAAGAATTTCTAGATTTTCCTGCTTTAAATATTCAATCGTTTGACCAGCGCTGTGTGAGCTTGCATTGTCATGGTTTTAAGATGATGCGTGGCTTTGGGCTAGATTTCTGACGTTCGGCGATGACTTGTGGTAAAAAACTGTGGTATACCACTCCGCATTAACCGCTCTAATATATTTAAGTGCAATCGTCACAACATGGCCGTTTTTCGTTGAACGTGGCCACCATTTTCTTTGAAGTGCTTCGAGAGCGAACAACTTTAGTCGGCTTGGGCTCGTCTTGGAAGACCCAGATTGTAGATTGTTGTTTAGAATCGGGATCGTAGGCATAGATCCAAGATTCGTCACCACTGATGATGTCGTAGACGTGATTTGACTCTCCTCGGTTAAACCTTTGAAGAGTTTTCTTACACCATCTGACTTGGGTCGCCTTATGATCGGCGGAAAGCAAATGCCGGAACCAATTTTTTCTGATTGGTTGTCCTTGAGATGCTTAATAACGTCTCTATCTCCCGATATGCCACATGATGATCTTCGAGAATTAGGTTTATCACAGAAACGATGTTATCTTCAGTGAAGGCGGATTTTGAACGTCCTTCACGAGATTTATCACTAAGATTGGTATGTCCATGTTCGAATTCTAAATACCAGTGTTCGACAGTCCTCAGAAAGGCTTTATCATGGAACAGAAGTTAGCTCTTCGAAACACGGAAGCAGTATTAGATCTCTTCGAAAGTTGTAGAAAATTACTGCACGGATATTTTCCTTAGTAAGATTCGTTTTCACACGTGACCCGACAGATTCAAAACGACTCGGTAGCTAAACAATAGCATTATAATCCTCATACGAGTACTTTCAATTGCTTTGAGATTCTGACTAAACAAGTTTGAATATTCTACAGTTCCAAATTCAAAAATGCCGGTAAATATGTAAACGACAAAACTTAAAAGGCATGCTAATTACAGCTTTTTACTTAATGTATATAAAAGTGTATACGGTCCTTATAACAAAAAAAAAAACAATATTTGAAATTTGCGTCTGTCTGTTTGTTCCGGCTAATTTCCGAAACGACTGCCCGACTTTGACGGGACTTACATTGGCAGATGGCTGATGTTATAAGGAGTAACTTAGGCTACTTACATTTTAGAAAAATAATTAGAGTTCCGCGCAAAAATAAACCTAAACTACACGCGGGTGAAGTTACAGGAAACAGCTAGTTGTAGATAGATATGAAAAATTTGAACATATTTTAATTTCAAAGCTTATTTTATTTTACGTGGTAATGTATTATGTAACTTAATGTCTTGTAAGTAAGGATGACCAAATGACGAAGAGTCAAGTAGGTAAGTGAATGCTGTAACCCATATAAATCTTAATCTATTCTCAATTAATAACCTTGAGGATTAAAATGGAATGATTAGTTTTCAGAAAAAAGGGTGTTAAGTTTTCATCACTCACCATACGAAAGCAGCATTATGCTTCTATTTTATGCTCATTTCTGTGCGAAAAAATAACATCGTGTGAACAAGTTCCTTTCATGGTCGAGCCGACCCAATAGTCCTGCTTGACCAAACGATTGAGTCCACCTGATGGTAAGTAGATGCTGTGGACCAGTATAAAATTAAATATTTGATAATTTCTTTCACGATCCCCTCGTTTTTTGGCTCTAGAAAATCGACAAATCATCCGATTTCGATGAGTTTTTTTTAAATCTTCGTTTTAATGGCAGATTTATGAGATAAAAAATGAAAATATCACACCTGAAGATTTCATATAGTTTTATGACTTTAAATGTGATCATAAACGCACTTCTTCGAATAATATATATACTTAAGGACGCGTTTACAAAATGGATAGGTATAGAATCGCACTACTACATTGACAAAAGTCACACACACACTAGTGTACGCACGGTTGGCTGTGGGAATCGTAGTCAAATGAAATTATTTTGATAATTTGAAAGATTGAATTTGTTTTTCATTTCTTATACCTACCTCAGAAATATACTTCGATACGAAATATGAATACCTGCTCCAAAGACTGCTTGGCACTGGAAGCCCTCTACTGGTAGTGAGATGTTAGCTCTGGACTTTGAACTGGTTTTGTCAGTTATAATAAGACCTTACCTACCTGCGGACTTGATGGAGTGACCTGAAGGTGTAATTTGGTGATTACAACAATAGGAACTCCTAGACTAGTGGAACTAGGTGTGCCGAGTTTGGGTTCGTTTTGTTGGTTATGATGAGACCTTACCACCGGACTTGATGGAGTGACCTGAAGGTGTAATTCGGTGATTACAAGTGGAACTCCTAGACTAGTAGAACTAGGTGTGCCGAGTTTGGGTTCGTTTTGTTAGTTATGATGAGACCTTACCACCAGACTTGATGGAGTGACCTGAAGGGGTAATTCAGTAACTACTGCTGGAATTTCTGAACGAGTAGAACTAGGTGTGCCGAATTTGGGCTCCGTTTTGTTAGTTATGACGAGTCCATACCTCCGGACTTGATGGAGTGACCTGAAGGTGTAAATCGGTGATTGCAACTGGAACTCCTAGACTGGTGGAACTAGGTGTGCCGAGTTTGGGTTCGTTTTGTAGGTTATGATGAGACCTTACCACCGGACATGATGGAGTGACCTGAAGGTATAGTTCGGTGATTACAAGTGGAACTTCTAGACTTGTAGGACTAGGTGTGCCGAGTTTGGGTTCGTTTTGTTAGTTATGATGAGACCTTACCACCAGACTTGATGGAGTGACCTGAAGGGGTAATTCAGTAACTACTGCTGGAATTTCTGAACCAGTAGAACTAGGTGTGCCGAATTTCACTCCATCAAGTCCGGTGGTAAGGTCTTATCGTAACTAA